GAAGCAGTTGTTTATAATGCATCCAAGGTAGAAACTGACGGTAGCCCGTATATTTCACTGCGGTTTATCCCATATATGACGACTTGGTTATCACATGTTGCAACCGTCGTTATCAACCACAAACGAACTAAGATGTACATCCAAGTTTTGCATAGATCTGGTGTCGGTTCTTGCTCCCTGAGCAGACTTAGCTGAGAGCATGAGATGTGCCATTGGGCTCAGACTGCTGGTCATAGGGACAGCAACATCAGCACACAGCAACCCTGTGCCTCTGTCCCACAACACACTCTCCACGCAATGCTAGACTGAGTCAGACTAAGACAGCCTGTCAACTCTGAAAAGTAGGCATTCTAAGAAAGTTACAGCCTTTTTCAAAGCACATGGATTTTATCTGGAAATTTCGATGGTTTTTGGGTTGTGAAGCAACACCCATCAACAAGCAGGTGGTTTTCCAGCACCCAAACATAGATCCGCGACATGCGGGCATGGCTGCTGTGGTCTGAACCTCAGGATTTGCCTCAGTGGACGCAAGTAGTAAGTGGGTATATAGCCATGATAGGTAAACCTATTTACCCTCCTGTAAACCAACATAGATGTGGACAAACCCACCATTTATTGATCATTTTCCTACGAAAACCACGGGTTTTCCCGGCAACAGGTACAACAGTTGGTGTATGACCTAAACATATTCTATTCTATAATGGTTGGATAAACCATATATAGAAAGGCTGGTGGAAAACCTGCTGCGGCATCTATATATGGAGACTGCCAAAAACCTCTACAGCTTGGTTCTCCCATCCCCGAAAGAATGGGTGCCTCAGCGATTTCTCGGTCCCCAAGGGACCTTCAAAAAGTCATGGCTTCGGCCACTCTGAGGAGACTTCCTTACCCTGCAACGGTCACAGCACTTGTGGATTTCCAGGTGGCGGTAGTTTTTAGGGTCAAGGAAAGCACGGAAAGCACAAAGCCTGAACGTCAAGTTTGGGTATACCACAGAACGGGAACACCATCCATTTTTGGGCTGATCAGTTTTTACCCGTAGTTCTTTTTTCCATTCATGGATGTTTGACATGAAGATCCCAAAATTGTAGGATGGTTTCTACTAGTAGTGGCAAACAACGGTGACCACTCACACCAGTGATCCCCGAAGGGTTACATCCACTAAATTCAGCATCGGAATTGGAATCCCAAAAATGGCTAATATCCGCTTGGAGAATCATTTTCCAGACCCTATTGTTTGTTTGTTTTTTAGTTAGCAAAATCCCCGCTGCAAGCTAAAGCTCTCGCGCTTGGATCGTGGGCTGCTGTTTGATCCAGGAAAAACAACGCCACTGGTGGGCGGAGCGTTTTCTCCGCTTCCCTCCAGTATAAAAAGATAATTGTTTTAATGTTTTATAGTAGATTTGAGGAGGTCAGCGATCTCCAAATTTGGGACATATTTTCATTACAATCAGAGCTTTTTGTACTCCCTTTGATCCTCAGATTGTATCTGGTGAACAAAAGTGGTTTGAGAGCAACCAACTACCTTTCTATTCTGCTCTACATGAACCTGGACCATCACAGTACCAAAGATTGTACAATCTAGTACTGTACGCTTTTCCTTTGTTCCCCACCTGCCAGGTGAGGGTTGTTAGATTTTATGTCAGTTGCCTCCTCCTCCTCCTGCTCCTCCTGCTCCTCCTCCTCCTGCTCCTCCTCCTCCTCCTCCGCCTCCGCCTGCCTCGTCCTCCTCCTCCTCGTCCTCCTTGTCATCCTTGTCGTCCTTGCTCAACTGCGACCCGCGATCCACAGTGTTCTCTGCCGGACCTCAACCACGACCACCCGCGCCCAGTGTTCCCTGCCGGACCTCAACCACGACCATCCACGCCCAGTGTTCCCTGCCGGACCTCAACCACGACCATCCACGCCCAGTGTTCCCTGCCGGACCTCAACCACGACCATACACGCCCAGTGTTCCCTGCCGGACCTCAACCACGACCATCCGCGCCCAGTGTTCCCTGCCGGACCTCATGTAGGAAGATATGGGACAAAGAATGTGCAGAAGAAAGTTAGAAAGAATGTCAGAAAGAATGTCAGAAGATATGCCAGAAGATATGCCAGAAGATATGCCAGAAGATATGCCAGAAGATATGCCAGAAGATATGTCAGAATATATGCCAGAAGATATGTCAGATAGAATGCCAGAAGATATATCAGAATATATGCCAGAAGATATGCCAGATAGAATGCCAGAAGATATGTCAGATAGAATGCCAGAAGATATGCCAGATAGAATGCCAGAAGATTTGCCAGATAGAATGCCAGAAGATAGAATGCCAGAAAATATGCCAGAAGATATGCCAGATAGATATGCCAGAAGAAATGCCAGATAGAATGCCAGAAGATATGTCAGAATATATGCCAGAAAGATATGCCAGATAGAATGCCAGATAGAATGCCAGAAGATATGTCAGATAGAATGCCAGAAGATATGCCAGATAGAATGCCAGAAGATATGCCAGAAGATATGCCAGATCATATGCCAGAAGATATGCCAGATAGAATGTCAAATAGAATGTCAGAAGATATGTCAGATAGAATGCCAGAAGATTTGCCAGTAAGAAAATGTATAAATGTCATGGTGGGGATCACACGAAGTAAAGTAATTTTTTTTCATGCATTGTTATGTTTGCAGAACAATAATCCACTGAAAGCATACTTTGAGGGGCGATGGTCGTTCTTGTGCCACATGACGAGTGGACCTGCTTGAGGTCCGCTTTCGGTGATGGAAATACAGTATATACAATGCTTTCAGTGCTGGAAATTAATTAAGAGTGTCAAGTCAATAAAAAAGCACTTTTCACAGACTTCAGGGGCTTTTAAAATTGCGACACGTCGCAGCTTAGCCACAAGTTAAGCTCCTCTCACTAGCCAGCAAAGACAGGGGTGAGAAAAAAAATGGAGTTTTAAGAAGGAAGTAGCTCGAAGGAACTGGAGACGATTCTGGAGAGCCGAAAGCCAAGAGGGGGAGATTCACCAACGCAGAAGGTCAGGGAATGTCAGGGTTGCAACAATGGTGAGATAATGTGAGATATAGCCAAGAAACACTGGAAGATGTTTGAGATAAGCAACGAACAGGGTGTGATAATAATACGATACAATACGTTGAGATATGATAGTAACCACACATTTCCAGATCCATCATTTTTGGGCACACCGGTTCGAGCCTATTGTCAGTTTTGAGTTCTAATCCGGTGAGTTTGTACGTAGGGTTTCCGATGTTTTTCGGCCGCCATTAAGACATGTAACCATGAGCTATTCATTGTACGTGCTATCCAGTATTGCTTGTTTCAACATTCTGAAGGCGAGGATGTTTAATTCACACAACTCCCAGGATCTCCCAATGAACAAAAAAGAGAACTGAGTGCCCCCCAGTCCCATGAGCACATGAGGTGTTATCATGCAGTTGACCTTCCAAACTGTTTTTCTTGTAGCGTTTCCTGGGACCTTTCAGCGAAACTCGGGAGTCCCATGGGCTTTGTTGGGACATATGTTGAACATCATGGAGAAGTTCAACTTCCAGATTTGGATTCCGAAACCAGGGTCGCACTATCAGTCACTCAATTTGTGCAACGTGTTCAGCATTTTTGGGGCATCTTGTGACCAACAAGTCCTTCCGCTACCTTGCCCTTCCAGGCTCAGGCAAGATGTCAAGTGATCTGTCTGGAACTCAGGAAAGCCTCCATTCGGTTCCGCCCTGCCGGTGAGTGACATGAATTAAGCAGCCAAAGTGCGGAGTGACTTAGCATCAAACCTGGGGGAATTTTACAACAAAATAGAACAAAATAGGACTTCTCGGTATTTTTTTGTGTATTGAAATTATTGAACGCATGTGACGGCATTGGCCCTAGATGATTTCAGATGGACATGGGTTTCAGTACTACTCCATAGTTTTGTTTTTGGCTTCTGTATGCTTCTATCATATTCTTTTTTTGTTTGGGCTCAGCATCTCGAGTCTCGAGGCTTGAACCTGAGAAGAGGCCGGTTCTGCCGCTGATACGAAGGCGAGCCGCGAGTCTGGCTGTAAAGGTCTATGTCAAGGAGGGATTTGTCAACAATGAATGGGCATATATTTCCAGCAACATGGGGACTCCCACGAATTTATCACTGGTTGGTATGGTTTTCAACATTGTTTTTACTTGTTCGCCCGCATTCTTGAGGGAGTTGAAACATGTCCAACCGACCACCAACCAGTGATTGGATATGGTCTAATCACATTTGAAGTCCAGGTGGCCACCCAGTTTGTTGGGGCACAAAATTGTGACTCAGACTCAGACCCAAGTCTTGATGCTGATATAGCATGATATAGCCGAGTTCGTAGCTATCGGATATCATTCCAGTGAATAGGCCATGTATATCTTGGGCTTCATCCCATTTTGAGTGGCATTTTTTGCGGCAGATCCCCCATGCTCAAATGCGCTGGCGCAGCCCCCGAGTCTTTCTCGACTGTCTCAAAGGGATGTAGCCTAAGAGTTTGCGCAAGACCAATAACATGCATTTAGCAAACAGTGATTTCTATATGTCGATTTATCATTTTGAATCTTGCTACTTTCTATCCAAAGATTATATACTAGTAGAAGTTTACTGGTTCATTCACTTCAGTCTAGTCGATGTGATCCAATCTTTACCTATCAACCTATCAATCTGTCAATCCAACTTGTAGTATCTACTTCTATCTATATGATCCAAATCTACATCTGTTCTATTCCATATGATTCTGTTCCAATTATTCCATTCCTATTGCATTCATTTCACTTTGCTATCCCATTTCCATCCAACATCTGGGTAAACCCGGGTGCACCCTTTTTTTAATCGACAAGTTCTCCAATCCAATGGTCTGTGGCAATAGGTTAAACATGGTTCAACTGTTGTAGCGGGTACCCCTCGCCACTTCCCACTTCCCAAGCATTGAGGCTTCTCAGTGAAGTGAATCGTCGTATCTTACAAACACCAGAGGAGTTGTTGAGCTATGAGGTGCGCATTGCAGACGGTCAACAGACAGAAATTTAGCCATTTAGATCATTTAGCCTTTAGTAGATTTTCAAAGGAAGTTGGGAAGCAATACTTCCGTGTTACGGACAAATAGAATTCTGAGACTTGAAATGATGAAGGGCGGTAGATCGTATATCAATACATAACATAACAATGCATGACATAACAATACATAACATAACAATACATAACAAAAGAATAAGGGTGCTGACAATGACGGGGTGGTGACGAAGGGAAGTGGTGACGAAGGGAAGTGGTGACGAAGGGAAGTGGTTACGATGGGAAGTGGTGACGAAGGGAAGTGGTGACGAAGGGAAGTGGTGAAGAAGGGAAGTGGTGACGAAGGGAAGTGGTGACGAAGGGAAGTGGTGAAGAAGGGAAGTGATGATGAAGGGGAGTGGTGATGAAGGGAAGTGGTGAGGAAGGGCTGTGGTTGCAGATCGCATTGTAAGGGCTGCATGAATGTTGCATGGGCTATGCTTTGGGGAGGAAGCCGGAGCGCGAAACCTTGTGTTTTTCCGTGTAAAGTGGCTGCAGCCGTATACCTCGTCTGTGCGGCGGTTGCGGCTGGGGTCGTTCCGGACGCGATTGGTTCCTTCTATGTGTTTTGCAACAAGTGCTTGTTCCTGTGTGCGTAGTTCTATGCGTTTCCTGAAGCTGTGGTTGCTGATCGCATTGTAAGGGCTGCATGAATGTCGCATGGGCTATGGTTTGGGGAGGAAGCCGGAGCGCGAAACCTTGTGTTTTTCCGTGTAAAGTGGCTGCAGCCGGCGATGAAAGGTACCTCGTCTGTGCGGCAGTTGCGGCTGGGGTCGTTCCGGACGCGATTGGTTCCTTCTATGTGTTTTGCAACAAGTGGTTGTTCCTGTGTGGGTAGTTCTATGCGTTTCTTGAAGCTGTGGTGGCAGATCGCATTGGAATGGCTGCATGAATGTTGCATGGGCTATGCTTTGGGGAGGAAGCCGGAGCGCGAAACCGTGTTTTTTTCCGTGTAAAGTGGCTGCAGCCGGCGATGAAGGGTACCTCGTCTGTGCGGCGGTTGCGGCTGGGGTCGTTCCGGACGCGATTGGTTCCTTCTATGTGTTTTGCAACAAGCGGTTGTTCCTGTGGTGTAGTTCTATGCGTTTCCTGAAGCTGTGGTTGCAGATCGCATTGTAAGGGCTGCATGAATGTCGCATGGGCTATGTTTTGGGGAGGAAGCCGGAGCGCGAAACCTTGTGTTTTTCCGTGTAAAGTGGCTGCAGCCGGCGATGAAAGGTACCTCGTCTGTGCGGCGGTTGCGGCTGCGGTCGTTTCTGTCGCGAATTGTTCCTTCTATGTGTTTTGCAACGAGTGGTTGTTCCTGTGTGCGTAGTTCTATGCGTTTCTTGAAGCTGTGGTGGCAGATCGCATTGGAATGGCTGCATGATTGTTGTCATTTGGTGTTGCCACGTCCGTAGATAGGTGCAGGTTTGCTACGGGATGCTGCGAAACGCATTGTAGTGGCTGCGTCAAGGTTGCTTGATGCCGCGGCTGCATGCGTAATACTATTGTCTTTTGCAGCTGAAGATCGTAAATCGTATTGGAATGGCTGCATCAAGGCTGCGAAAGTGATTTGTCAGCAGATTTTCTCAATTTTGGCGCTAATAATTTTCCTTTTAAAATTCCTTTTAAAAAGTGCTTCAAAATCGTCTTTTTGTCGCTTTGGCGTCGAGATCCGGTTTTGGAGCTGCAATTTCCGACGCCATTGCACGTAATCCCTTCCTCCTAATACTAAACGTCCCCCTAATACTAAAAACAGGCATCCATCTCCAATTTCCGAAAATTTCAGTTTGGCCAATTTGACTTTTAATTGATCCCCTTTAAAAAACAATTCAAAAATCAACCTACCATTTGTGGGTTCTCCCCCCTAATACTAAAAACTAATTCATCCCGGGGTGTTTAGTATTAGGGGGGCTAGTTTTTAGTATTAAGGGTTTTAATTTCGTATTAGGGGTAAGCTTCGAACTGCCATTTTTGGCAATATTTTAATTGCGTTATATAAGGAAATTTAATTGATTTTGAGATCGGAAAAAATAGTTTTTAGTATTAAGGGTTTTAATTTAGTATTAGGGGTAAGCTTCGAACTGCCATTTTTGGCAATATTTTAATTGCGTTATATAAGGAAATTTAATTGATTTTGAGATCGGAAAAAATAGTTTTTAGTATTAAGGGTTTTAATTTAGTATTAGGGGTAAGCTTCAAACTGCCATTTTTGGCAATATTTTAATTGCGTTATATAAAGAAATTTAATTGATCTTGAGATCGGAAAAAATAGTTTTTAGTATTAAGGGTTTTAATTTAGTATTAGGGGTAAGCTTCGAACTGCCATTTTTGGCAATATTTTAATTGCGTTATATAAGGAAATTTAATTGATTTTGAGATCGGAAAAAATAGTTTTTAGTATTAAGGGTTTTAATTTAGTATTAGGGGTAAGCTTCGAACTGCCATTTTTGGCAATATTTTAATTGCGTTATATAAGGAAATTTAATTAATTAATTAACATGACTTCGATTTGGTTCCCTAATAATAAATACCCCCCTAATACTAAAAACTACCTGCCGTGTTTTGTATTTGGGGGGGGGTTTAGTATTAGGAGGAAGGGATTAGTTCTATTGTGTTTTGCAACTCAGTCTCTGCAGATCGCATTGTAGTGGCTGTGTCAAGGTTGCTTGGTGCAGCGGCTGCATGCGTAATGCTATTGTCTTTTGCATCTGAAGATCGTAAATCGTATTGGAATGGCTGCATCAAGGCTGCGAAAGTGATTTGTCAGCAGATTTTCTCAATTTTGGCGCTAATAATTTTCCTTTTAAAATTCCTTTTGAAAAGTGCTTCAAAATCGTCTTTTTGTCGCTTTGGCGTCGAGATCCGGTTTTGGAGCTGCAATTTCCGACGCCATTGCATGTAGTTCTATTGTGTTTTGCAACTCAGTCTCTGCAGATCGCATTGTAGTGGCTGCGTCAAGGTTGCTTGGTGCAGCGGCTGCATGCGTAATACTATTGTCTTTTCCAGCTGAAGATCGTAAATCGTATTGGAATGGCTGCATCAAGGCTGCGAAAGTGATTTGTCAGCAGATTTTCTCAGTTTTGGCGCTAATAATTTTCCTTTTAAAATTCCTTTTAAATAATGCTTCAAAATCGTCTTTTTGTCGCTTTGGCGTCGAGATCCGGTTTTGGAGCTGCAATTCCTGTTGTGATTATGTACAAGAAAGCTTCTCTGTGCAAAAACTTTTTCTGTAAAAGCTTGCTGTGTGTAAAAGCTTCTCTGTGTGTAAAAGCGTCTCTGTGTAAAAGTTTCTGTGTGTGTAAACGCGTGCCATGTGTAAAAGCACTGTGCGTAAGCGTTCTGTGTGTAAACGCTTGCTGTGTGTGAAAGCTTGCTGTGTGTAAAAGCTTCTCTGTGTAAAAGCTTGTTGTGTGTAAAAGATTTTGCGTGTATAAAAGGCTTGCTGTGTGTGTAAACGCTTGCCATGTGTAAAAGCACTGTGTGTAAGTGTTCTGTGTGTAAACGCTTGCTGTGTGTGAAAGCTTGCTGTGTGTAAAAGCTTCTCTGTGAAGAAGCTTGCTGTGTGTGAAAGCTTGCTGTGTAAAGCTTCTCTGTGTAAAAGCTTGTTGTGTGTAAAAGCTTCTCTGTTTAAAAAGCTTGCTGTGTGTGTAAACGCTTGCCATGTGTAAAAACACTGTGTGTAAGTGTTCTGTGTGTAAACGCTTGCTGTGTTTGAAAGCTTGCTGTGTGAAAAAGATTTTGCGTGTAAAAGCTTGCTGTGTGTAAAAGCCTCTCTGTGTGTAAAAGCGTCTCTGTGCAAAAGTTTTTGTGTGTAAACGCTTGCCATGTGTAAAAGCACTGTGTGTAAGCGTTCTGTGTGTAAACGCTTGCTGTGTGTGAAAGCTTCTCTGTGAAGAAGCTTGTTGTGTGTAAAAGCTTCTGTGTGTAAAAGCTTCTCTGCTTGAAAAGCTTGCTGAGTGTAAAAGCTTCTCTGCGAAAGAACTTGATGTGTGTAGAAGCTTTGTAGTACAAAGTAGTACTGGAACGTGTTTTGTGCAAGCTTTGTAATACAAAGTAGTACCGGGAAGTAGTTGTGCAAGCTTTGTAGTACACAGTAGTACTGGGAACGAAGTGCTTTGTGCAAGCTTTGTAGTACAAAGTAGTACTGGGAAGTAGTTTGTGCAAGCTTTGTAGTACACAGTAGTACTGGGAAGTGCTTTGTGCAAGCTTTGTAGTACACAGTAGTACTGGGAACGACTTTGTGCAAGCTTTGTAGTACAAAGTAGTACTGCGAACGACTTTGTGCAAGCTTTGTAGTACAAAGTAGTACTGGGGAGTGCTTTGTGCAAGCTTTGTAGTACAAAGTAGTACTGGGAAGTGTTTTGTGCAAGCTTTGTAGTACAAAGTAGTACTGGAACGTGTTTTGTGCAAGCTTTGGTGACATACGAGAAGTAGTACTGGGAAGTGATTCATGAAAGCTTAGGTGACATATGAGAAGAGATGAGATGAGAAGAGATGAGCTGGGATAAGGTGAGAAGAGCTCAGATGAGATGAAGTGTGGAGTGTGAAGTGTGAAGTGTGAAGTGTGGACTGTGAAGTGTGAAGTGTGAAGTGTGGAGTGTGAAGTGTGAAGTGTGAAGTGTGGACTGTGAAGTGTGAAGTGTGAAGTGCGCAGTGTGAAGTGTGAAGTGTGGAGTGCGAAGAGTGCAGTGTGAAGTGTGAAGAGTGTGGAGTGTGAAGTGCGAAGAGTGCAGTGTGAAGAGTGCAGTGTGAAGAGTGTAGTGTGGAGTGTGAAGACTGTCAAGTGTGAAGTGTGAAGAGGAGCTTCAAATGTGACATGTAAAACAAGACACCAGTTTCGCAGAGCGCACGCACGCACGGGCATGGCTGGCGCACGGCGCATGCAAGTTCTATAGATGAGAAAGGTCTTATATATATCTTTAAGGCAACTTCCGCCCCGCCTCGTGCGGGTACTACTGGTAGTAGCACCATTCAATGAATGGGCAAATCATCTATAAATCATCCATAAAAGGGCCATGTTCCATCGCTTCAACAGCAAGGAACGTTTCGGTCGGTCGGTCGGTTCTTGGATTTGCTGAGTCGATATGCATCAGCAATGGGGAAATCCATTGGAAAAATATGTTCTATAAGTCCAAATGAAGCATGAACTGAACCTGAAATCCAATGGTTAAACTAGGCACATGCCTGACGTCACAAGGTCCAGCATGTGGGAATCCAAGGGAATCTGCAGAACTCCGGCATTGAAAATTCGGAACTAGCAGTCATTGGATTGAAACCCCTACCTGACGCGGGGAAGTCCCCATGGTTTTCCGGTTAAGACTTTCCCGACTCAACCAATCCAGTGAAACATTGGTTAAATTCGGATTCACCGATCCATGAAATCGGATAAATCAGAAAGATGCCACCATGACGTCAGAATGCAAGAGTCTATAAGTGAATATCACATTATATCAAATTTTATATCACAGAATGGCCACACTTTTAAGGTTGGTGAATTATTGTAGTTCAGCCGGTGTGATGGGATCCTGGTGTGCCGATTTGGACTAAGCACTTCATCGCATCATGTGCTGTATACCGCTGGGTTAGCCCTTTTAAACTTTATGGGTTAGTAAATACCAGTTCTATTTCCATGAAAAGAGTTAGTACATGATATGAGTACTTAATATCATTATATATAATATCATTATCATTATATATGCATGAACTGGGTAGTACACAACATTTTTATCATGTTATATGTCCTTCCCAGAATCTCAGAATGCCGACAGGAGCTCCGGGACTTTGCAGAGGCTGAGTATGGCCCCAACGGTGATTTGACAAGAGGATTCAAATCGCTAGTTACTCTTTGGTGTCAAACATGGCTGGGAAATTGCCCAACTTGGATCAGCCTTGTTTGAGTACCTTTTTTTGTGACTTGATTCTAACTAAGTGTCAATTCACTAAAGATTAAACTTGATGTTTTAACTGATCATGAACTAAACTTTGATCGAACTTGACCTTTTTCGATTTTGGACCGGGTGGTCCACAGGTCAACCCACCATATTGGGGGTCGTGTTAAAGGACCATATTGGGGCTTTAGTCCATTGCCACAACATGATAGTCACGGGTACGTATAAAGATACTTATCAATAACATTACACCAAATAAATACTCATATGTTAGAGCCAAGATCACGACAGTTCTCAATATGAGGAATCCACCAACATTCTCTAGGGAACCTTGCTGGGAGCAGATCCCCATATTGTACATTCAAAAACGCATGTGAGAGGTGACACCATGGCCAGTGTGTTGCGCACCGAAAGAAGGATGAAGACGTGGGTGGATTCAAAGGTATCACGGTTTGTCAGTGGTTCCATGATTGGTTTTTCCTCAACGGGTCCACTGCGGACGATTTAGTAGAACTGACTGGATTTGAATTCACATGTCCGTGAAAAGTTGAGAGTTGAGAAGCTAGTAACTCCTGTGAATGTCAAGCCAGAACCTCATGGAACCAAGAGGAACCTTGCGGGGCTGAGGCGTGGGTTCACGTCATGGGTTGAAAAACAGTTCCTGGGTCCAGAGCAGTCTTGCAGGCAACGATACCATCTGCAGAGGCCGCTTCTGTTTTGGACTGGACACAACTTCTTGAGGTCCCTACTTGAAATCTGCATCACAGTTACTACTGAGTGGGTAATGACTGCATTACAAGTAGACCATTTATGGTCTTATGGGATATATGATATATAATTATGCATACACCACAGGCAACATATAGGCTATTCACCACATGATCCCAGGCAAATAAATCGTTGAAGATCCACCGAACATGGATGGAATGGCTGGCGTGGATAGTTGGGTGAACATACCACCGCGGGGGATCCCCCATGGCCTGGATGAGGACTGGGGGTACCACCATTTTACTGAGGAAATCTCGATATTTTGTGATTCTTATCCCATCATGATCCCCACAATCCAACAAAAACCCAATTTTTAATGGACTCAAATCCCATATCCATATCATATTCCCATGGTGTATCACAGTGGTTCAAGGACTCGAGCAAAATCGTGCAACTGCGGCAGCAGCTTTGCACAGCTCTCCACCAGTACTTCAGGCAGGGCACTGCTGGCACTGCTGGCACCGGAACGTCCAATGGTCCATCCCCATCCCACTTGAGTGGTACATGGTAGATGACATGATTATGAATAAACTCAATGGATGATAGAGATATGATATGATATAATTTGATTTGATATGATATTATAGTGAATTAAACTTAATGGATGACAGAATCACCTTAATTCACATCAATATTAATGACTATGAATCTAATTCGAACATCAAGAAAAGTGGATATTTGATGAATTGATCAGCTATTAACTTGATGACTTTCCATCAATCTTGAAGCCTCATATGGAGAGATCCCCATGGCAGGAAGCGATGGCCCATCACCAAGGTTGATTGGTCGGCCGAGGCATTTGGAGGATTTCGGAGGTATCCATTGTTGCTATTTCTTGGTAATGTGGGATGGTTGATCCTTGGGTGAACCACATTGCTTGTATTAGGTCTATTAGGTCTATTAGGTAATGAGAAAATATGAGAACATATGAGAACATATGAGAAAATGGTAATCTGTTGAGATCAATATCATGAGTCTGTTGATGGAGGGATACTATAGTTACTATAGGTAAAGATCCATTTTTGCATCTGGATATGGATGATTGACCCCCCTAGAAACATGGATCTCAGGGGACTTTCCGAAGCCTTCTTCTAGGTGAATTCTTGACCATCTGTATGTGGTTTCTGGGATCCTGCCATATAGAAATTGGGCAAACTCAATGGCTAACTCACTGGATTTTTTTTGGGAACATCTACAGGAAACCATCGATTTTACCCGGAAAAATCTGGGGCTTTCCGCTTCAAATTGTCAGTCACCAATCCAGTGAGTACCACCTGGCCCCCCTCGTCACCAATCCGCCATCGCTTTTTGCGGTAGGAGATGGCGCGCGGCTGCGATCGACCCACGGGAAATCGGAGCTTCCCACCCTTCCAGATCGATCTCAGCGTCCGGGCACCGAATCCATGACGTGATCACATTGGGATATCATGGGTAAATGGTTAATGTATGTTAATGTTATATGGGATATATACATTGGGATATGGCTATGGATCAATACCTATTTATGGTGGCTAATGGTGGCTACGAAGGGAAATAAATCATTGAGAATGGCGAATCAATGCTGATAATTTGGTTAATGTTCGTCATGGTTAATGATGGTTCATAAATGTCAGTAATGGCTGTTGGTTCAAAAAAACATATAACTGGGACCATAGAATGGGACTGGTTCATATATACATTATATTACATTATTATATACGGGGATGGGATGATGTGCACTGCAACGTCGTACCACGGTTTGACATATTCTTACTGAGTAGGGGGTTGAGTCAAACAGGAGGCTTTTCCATCAATGAATTACTCATGTTAGGTCAGGTGATGTCTGGCATGAAGCCTGAAAAAACAATGATCCAGACCTAGAGCGGCACAAACGGTGCTGTTCAGAACCTGGAACATCAGGTTCAGCGACTTATGTCCGCCCAGCTGTGGTAGCCTTCCGCCCAAGTGAGCAAATCCTGGGTCCCTAGGCTGCTAGGCTACCTTACTTATCAGGCTAGGCGGCTAGGCTTGTTCCCATGTCAGGCTGCTGGTGTGCCGCAAGCTTAGTTCAGGATCTTGATTGGCTGCATGTGCGGGCTGTCGTTGGTTCTGGAGTGTTTCAGGAGTGGGTAGAGAATCGTGTAGGACCTTCTGGGGGTCTTACTACCACTGATCAACTGTCCCATTTCTGCCGGGCTGAGTGGCAGAAAATGGGAGGCCCCAAAATACTTCCTAGACCCCCATTTGTCGTTGTCAGGAGACTCCACTCCAGTCTGCCAGTCTGCAACAACAGAATCGTTTTTTGACTCCTCACCGAATGTATAAATGGACACCCTCACCGAATGTATAAATGGACACAGGTGACAATAGTTTTCCTTAATCATTGCTGATTTATGTTTCATTTTGTTTTATTGGTAGATCCTTCATTGTTTGACTCCATCCGAATCCCCACGATTCACAGCAGAGAGGCCGTACATCAATGCAGCCACGGTACCCGGCCGCGTCGAGGAGGTTTCTTACATTGTGTCGCTGGCTCAGGGTGACTGGGAGGCGATGTCACCATCCAAAAAATGGCAGAACTATCAGTAATTATATAGGGCAGAAGAGAAGAATCACCATTCCAGTTGGATAGCCTTGGATAATGTTTCTTGGATTGAACCTAAACTAGTAAACTGGTTTGAGATTCTTCAGACTTCATCTTTGTTGAGCTCTTTGGATGCATGTATTAGAGGGCTGGGGATGGTTGCCTGAAGCTACTTGTATGCACCAATCATTTCATAAATCGAAACCGCCAACAAGTTCCATGGAATGCCAAAGTTGGAGAGTCTGTCTATCTCCCATCTCAGCTGGCTATAAATTATCAGATGTCAATGTTGGTTATTTAATGTTATTTATGGTTATTTCAGTTGAAACATGTTGAAACCACCAACATCCACCAACATCCAAGGATCCAACTTGGTGCAACCGTTGATCGGCTGAGGACGCAGCACCCCCTGCCCAGCACGGTGCTGCATTTCTGGCAAATGGTCTTGGAGCTGCAGCCCACAGCCATCGTGCCCCGGCGCGAGATCGGATCTTTGACTTCGGAATGTGGCCATAATTAAGGGAAGTCATCCACTCTAAGTGGTCGAAATTTTCAGGTTGAAGCAATCACATATCAATCACTATAACATACTATAACTATTCTGCGATAATTCACCTACATGTTGTTGGTATATTTCGTTTCTGACTTTGCAGCGTGGCCTAAAATGAATTAATGGATAGAAATCTATAGAGATACACAGGGTTGATCCCGTAAATGTCTTTCGACCAATTCAACGCTTTTTTTTTTCGATACTGCTAGTGGTTGAAATATGTTGAAATAGCCTCTGGTAATTCAACATACCCATTGAACATCACGAATTTGAACAGGTTTTTTATGGTTTTTATCTATACATGGGCAATGTTCGAAAGCTTTTTGTACGAGAGGGTAATTGAAAAAGGGTGAATAACAAAAATCGAATTGATAATCCTCCAAAAATAATCAATCAATCGAAAAAGAAAAATCATCAATCCACCAAAAAATCATTATCAGTCATGAATGGATCCCCACAAATTCATCCATCAACCAAACATCTTTGGATTATCAACAATTACCTCAAAAGTCATAAACCATCCTTAATAATAACCATTTTGGATTATTAACATTCCCAGCAAAAAATAAATCATCAACCACCAACCACAATCGATCATCAATCAATCAAAAAACATATATATATATATATATAATTCCTCATATATATATAATTCCTCATATATATATATATCATTATATATATAATATTATTGAATACATATCCTAATCATGACTAGGAGTAACGTTCCCTTCCGCTACGATGAGGTGATGCTGAACGGTCACATCCATGTGGACGAGTCGCAGGATATAACTGGAAGAAAAATACGGGGGTTTAAAAAGAGGCGGATGATGGTTGAGAGGGAAGGAATTACCCACGTTTCTTTTTGGAATAAAAATTATGTTTGTTTTCAACCATGTTTTACTATGTTTTACTGTGTTATTATGATGTTTACCATGTTTTACCACGATTTACTATGATTTTTTTGCCACGGTTATCCAGTTCATTATCCATGAGAAGCCATTCAGTTCACATTGGGGTGGGTCCAAAAATGACGTATCCCCCTAAGATTGCCATTCAACGGTTCCTGGTGGTTGATCAAGGGTCCCCGGGTCCCCCCATTGAACAACCAACAAGTAAATTACCCTCTGGTAAACGAAGAGTTTGCTATTGAAATTTGCCATTGATGGTTGATTTAATGTCAACATCGTATTAATAACCCCCCCAAAAAAATTAAGAGCATCAAAATAAAGTTTAGGCCAAACATTCACCTAGGGTTCCTGGAAAATTTTCAGACCTATGTGGCGCCGAACAAATTGCCTAATTGAAAACGAATACATTCATAAAGTGAACTTTCTTGGAACTTTAGTATTCACAAATGAATTGCCTAATTGAAAACGAATACATAAAGTGAACTTTCTTGGAACTTTAGTATTCACAAATGAATTGCCTAATTGAAAACAAATACATAAAGTGAACTTTCTTGGAACTTTAGTATTCACAAATGAATTGCCTAATTGAAGACGAATACATAAAGTGAACTTTCTTGGAACTTTAGTATTCACAAATGAATTGCCTAATTGAAAACGAATACATAAAGTGAACTTTCTTGGAACTTTAGTATTCACAAATGAATTGCCTAATTGAAAACGAATACATAAAGTGAACTTTCTTGGAACTTTAGTATTCAACCATCAAAAATTTGATTAGACCCCTGAAATCCAAATACTTTATTTAGGGGCGTGTAAACATACATTATTATTTTGATGTCAGGGGTCTCCAGGGCCACCCCCTTTGCACGATTGTTTTTTGCATGTTTCGAGAGGGTTTAGTAAGGAAATCGACCATTTGAGCCTTGTTGTTTTTTCAACTCCAGAACTTTTCAGGCAAGATTTGGAGTTTGGAGTGTACTGCTTCCACTCAAAGAGTCTTGAGGGCTTCAGAAAGGGTTTGAGAGAGGGTTCAAATAGGAAAGGAATTGAGAAACAGTTTCAACCACCAAAAATTTGATTAGACCCCTGAAATCCAAATACTTTATTTAGGGGTGTGTAAACATACATTATTATTTTGATGTCTGGGTCTTCAGGGTCACCCCCTTTGCGCGGTTGTTTTTTGCATTTTTCGAGAGGGTTTAGTAAGGAAATCGACCATTTGATCCTTAGTTTTTTTTTTCAACTCCAGAACGAATACATAAAAGGGGAAAATAACGGAAAAAACAACTTTAGTATTCACAAATGAATTGCCTAATTGAAAACGAAGGGAAAAAAACGGAGAAAAAAAAAACGGAAAAAAACTTTAGTATTCACAAATGAATTTGCCTGATTGAAAACGAATACTAAAGGGAAAAAACGGAAAAAAACGGGAAAAACAAGTTGGCGTACTTTATTACGGGGGGGGGGGTATTAACGCCATGTGGACATTACCTATTGAAAATGGTGATTTTCCATAGTTATGTTAGCTTACCAGAGGGTAAATGATAAATGGTCATTATATATACTGTTTAGTAACCAGCCCCTCAACATTTGTCCCCAAAAAGGGCACTATTCTTGGACATGTCCCATCAACATCCCCAACCCCGCAAAAAGATTCAATTAGCATCCCGAAACACATATAAGGTTTTGCAGCTGATAGGGGGTCTTTGGAAATGGATTCTAGGGTCCTTGGTGATTTAGTTCTACCTCTGATTGTGTGATATATGTTTTCCATTATTTATTTCTTTATCTATCTTATCTATCAAGGTAGGTGGCCTTGGTATATACTAGTGAAAATGATCCCAAAGGAAAGATCGTCTTGGGCTAGTGTCCCTTGGATGTTTCAATATATTGTTAATTCTTATCCGCCATTCGGTAATCATGCCAAGATGGGGATTGATAATTAGTGTCTCCATCCATTTACCCTTCTATTCGTGGAAGTGCCAGTCAGAACAAACGATCACCATTCGATCGTAGTTCAAATAGGTTTTTTTGGGTTGGGTACTTTGATAAAATATAAATATATTTTATATATATATATATCAATATATGCAGCCGATAGGGGGTCTTTGGAATTTGATTCTAGGGTCCTTGGTGATTTAGTTCTACCTCTGATTGTGTGATATATGTTTTCCATTATTTACTTCTTTATCTATCTTATCTATCAAGGTAGGTGGCCTTGGTAAATACTAGTGAAAATGATCCCAAAGGAAAGATCGTCTTGGGTTAGTGTCCCTTGGATGTTTCAATATATTGTTACTTCTTATCCGCCATTCGGCAATCATGCCAAGATGGGGGTTGAGAATTAGTCTCTCCATCCATTTACCCTTCTATTTGTGGAAGTGCCAGTCAGAACAAACGATCACCATTCGATCGTAGTTCAAATAGTTTTTTTTTTTTTATGGGGGGTTGGGTACTTCGATAAAATATAGAATATATTATATCTATGTTGTGCAATTGATCTGGGTTCTCTGGAAATGGATTCTTGGGTCTTTCCAAATATTTAATATATGATAGTGGAATTGAATTGTATTATAGGTACTTTATTATTTTCCCTATGAGGTAACCAATTGGTTGATTAAATGGGTATCATCTTACCATTGGTTATTTAATATAACTATTTGTTTTTTACCATACTCATAGAAAATTTTATGTGCATTATTATGTTCACTCTTAGGCAACCACTTGGTTGGCTAAATTGATATCATCCCAGTAACGGTTAGGGTTATTTTATTTTATTATATTCCTTGGATTAACTGGGGTCCACTACCATTTCTGAAGGGTACCAACCAATTGCTGGATCAAAATGGAAAAGGTATCAACCACGCTCTTGTTTTTTCTAGGGTGGTGCCCCCATATACCTTTGGTATAAAGCCACCAATGTTAATGTTATCCCTGATTATCATTATTTTTTTTCAAGTACTAAATTTCCCCCATTATTTCTACATCTACATCATATATCCTTTAAATGCAATGTCCAACAGCTAATTTGCCGAAGTCAGGGCGCAGAAATCAGCACCCTGAGTTAGGAAAAAAAAATTGACGATATCCTAGGTGTTTGGTGGGGTATTGCCTAAGTAAGGTCGCAAAAATCTGCACCTAGACTTGGGCAATACAGAGGTTGTACCCTGGGATTTAGGAAAAAAAAGCCGATCTCAGGGTGCAGAAATTGGCATGTGGACTTGGGAAACAGCCCTACTATTATATTCTACCATGATTTTTGCCGCAGAGGATTCGGGGTCCTTGATTTTGAGATTTAGGAAAAAAAATTGCCGATCTTTTGGCTTGGGGGACCCCGTCGCATATCCGTCGTTTTATTTTATATTTTATCGAAGTACCAACCCCAAAAAAAAACCTATCTGAACACGATCCGTCGCATATTATCAACCATTTTATATTATATATTTTATCTTTCCGAAGTACCAAACCTACCTAAAAAAAAGAAACCAATCTGAACTACGATCGAATGGTGATCGAATTGTTCTGACTGGCACTTCCACAAATAGAAGGGTAAATGGATGGAGACACTAATTATCAATGATTGGATGATAAGATTGAAACATCCAAGGGACACTAGCCCAAGACGATCTTTCCTTTATCATTTTCACTAGTATATACCAAGGCCACCTACCTTGATAGATAAAATAGATAAAGAAATAAATAATGGAAAACATATATCACACAATCAGAGGTAGAACTAAATCACCAAGGACCCTAGAATCAAATTCCAAAGACCCCCTATCGGCTGCATATATTGATATATATATATATAAAATATTTAATATTTTATCAAAGTACCCAACCAAAAAAAAAACATATTTGAACTACGATCGAATGGTGATCGTTTGTTCTGACTGGCACTTCCACGAATAGAAGGGTAAATGGATGGAGACACTAATTCTCAACCCCCATCTTGGCATGATTGCCGAATGGCGGATAAGAAGTAACAATATATTGAAACATCCAAGGGACACTAGCCCAAGACGATCTTTCTTTTCTTTGGGATCATTTTCATTAGTATATACCAAGGCCACCTACCTTGATAGATAAGATAGATAAAGAATAAATAATGGAAAACATATATCACACAATCAGAGGTAGAACTACATCACCAAGGACCCTAGAATCAAATTCCAAAGACCCCCTATCAGCTGCAAAACCTTATATCCCAAAAACATTCAAATTAATTAGCATTTCTTTCTTTCATGGACAATGGAGTCAGAATCAAAGAGACATCCCAAAAGCATCCCAGAAAACATCCCCAAACCCAACAGCCTTTCAAAAACAATCTGAAAGAAAACAACATAGATGTGAAACACCCACCATTTGTAGATCATTTTCCTAGGGACTACATCTTAATTTACCCCGGGGTAGTTTAACCATGTAGATGTTCCTAGGGGTAATTATCTATTCTATGATAATCAAAACCACAATCCCAGCCTCATGTTCCTTCGCAGGACGGTTTTGCATTGGCTCCCTACTGGGAGCCTTCCGCTGTCGTCGCCCCACTGGAGCTGCGAGTGGAGGAGATGGAGGGATATTCTGTCGCTGTTTTTCGCGATGAACAAATTAGGGGGTTCACCACGAAAAACAAGAATTCAGCCACCAACATGGAGATTGAATCAACCAAACTGGAGGTTTAAGCATCAAACTGAGGGTTTCGCATGGTTTAATCATAATTAATCATTCAATAACAGTGTGGGGAGATTAATTATAGTACATTATGGTTGTAATGAGATAGAATGCCATCCATATAATGTCATGTTGGGTCTGTCCAACAACATGACGTGATACACCAGAATGCCAGAATGGCAATTTTCGTGTGGAAGATCATGGTCAACCATGGGAAATTTTTGGCAGGAAATGCGAGAAGATGCAGCAGGGTGCCTCAGGTTTGTCAGAGAGCAGCAATTTGAGAATGGAGAAACATGGTGAAACGCCAACTGACCTATTTTAATGCAACTTTTATGTCGTCAACTCCCTAATCCTCAATATGGGAGTTCTGGGGGGGGGCGATGACCATACAAATACATATAGTATATACATACATGGAATGGACAATTATTCAGATCTACTACACTGCATGCAGTTGATACATAATATCATGTGAGATACTGACCCACCTGCCCGAGGCTTCCGAATGCAACGTGCGAATGCTGATGTGCCAGCCGGATGCCCAGCCGTGTGCGACCTTGATCTCTCAAAATCGATTGAATTTTGAATTTTACAGGAAATCCAATCCATTTTTTGCTGAAATCCTTGCATAGTTTTCCTCCCAATTATCCCAGCGGACACCAACGGCCGTGCAGCAATGATCAGCCTCTAGGCGCACCGAAGCAAAACGCTGGCGTGGCCCGCAGATCGTGGTTCCTTGGTGGCGTGATCAAAGTGAACCGCCCCTGGAAGGCTTTCTGCAGCTCGGGGGCTCAGTTTTTGTTTTTTTTTCCAGGTAGATTCAGGGTATTTCTGGGTGGTTTGTGTTTTTTTCCCTCAGGTAGATTTATGAGTATAGCCAACGTTAGATCATTGTGGGTTTGTGGTGGTTCGACCTGAATATGTTGGGGCTCAGTTTGTGGTTAGGATTGAGGGGATCATTCCCAACTATTTTGGATGTTCTGGGTAAATTATGGATGTAGATGATTGCAGATGTTATAGTAACATATAGTAACATTTACAGCAGTAGCCCACAACAAGATGCAGAATTGAGTGATTTATTGATGATCACTATTTTAGAACTTGGATTTTGATCACTAATTTATTGAGTGATTTTATTTTAGAACCTTTTTAGGACTGGATTTTACTGGTGAAGTTCTGCTTAAGTTGAACGGTGCCCAAAACCCTATCCATTGGCCCATGGCCCATGAGTGGTGAAACAATTCCTACATGTATAGTATACAATCAAATTATATTATGTGCTGTACAATGATATATATATAATATAATTATGTAAATATACAGTAACTATATACAACTATATACAATTATATCTATAGATATGATATATATATATATATATATCTATAGATATGATATATATATATGTATATATATATGTATGTATGTATAAAAGGGGGTACCCTTCTGTTTCATCATCCCAGCGATGTAAAATGAAGGGCATCCACAGGATGGCAGATGGCGCACTGCCCAAACCCGCAAGGCATCTTTTTGGGGACTCATAGATTTCTTCGTATTTTGTAGCTAGAAAATAGTACTTAGTATATAGTAGTTTGAAGAAATTTGAAGAAATCGTAGTTACCACTATCAATGTATCTTTGAGTCTGAGTCTTTGCACATGCTGATGGATAATCGTTTCAATATGTGGGTATGGATCAATACCTATTAATACCATTTTTAGGGGAATGAACATCCATTTACCAGCTATTTTGATGTTCACCAGGGGTACAAGGTTTTGACCCATCCCCATGTGTCAATCCAGGTGTATCTTGGCCCAATAAATCTTCCGCGCTCTGAGGTTGGACAGACTGCTGGATGCCCAGAAAAAGTCGAGCTGGGTTCATTTGGAGAGCACTAGATGCAGATACATTGATAGGCAGAAATGTGGAAATATACGGAAAAGGGTCCTACCATCATGCAGATCTTTTCTTGGCCAATTGTGATGTGTTCCAGCCTTGAAGTAACCAAATTCTGCCTTGGAAGTTTCAACTGCATATCGAGTACTCGAGTACCAGTTGAACCCCATGAGGCTCGACAGTTTTCTGACTCCGGGGGAAGTTCATTCAGTGTTGCAAGCTCAGCCAGGTCGAGCCATTTGGCGATAGGTTTTGATAGATACTGGGCATTGAGAAATATATCATTTTTGTGTGAAATTGGGTTCTACTGGTATCATGTTCTATATATCTGATTCTATTGCAGTCCCACAGTCAGTGGAAACTGCTGTTCATTGCTAGGGCCCCTTTTGCTTGGGTCCCTCCCTACCAATTAGCGAGGCTTGTGCATTGCGCTGGCGGCATTGGTCGAGCAGGCCACTGGTGATGATTTAAAACACCATGATTGTTGAGAGGCAGCAATGCTCCCGGTCCCACATTGAATTGGAACCTGGTGGTAGGTGTGTTCATTGCTGCAGATGCTGGTGCCAGAGCAGCCTGTCAGGGGAAGGCACTCTGATTGGTGGAAGACATTTACAAATTGAAAACGCCACCCGCAACAATTGCTGGTTGGTGGTTCAACATGTTCAGAGGTGCTTATATTTGTACAATTATATATATATATACATATGGTCCCGTCCTCCGTCTCTCCACCCACCCCCCCCAATGGGTTGATGGGTTGGGTCCCCAGGTAGCACCCCCCCTTCCCTTCTATTTGCAAGCTATTGGCAGCATTTCTGAGGTCCAGCTTCATATTTGCTAGGTCTTTGCAGCATTTCTGACTACAAGCCTCGCATTTACTAGGTACATGCTACCTTTTAGGCGACCTACGTAGCACACACACTCCCTCAAAAGTACCTACGTGCTACCTATAGTCATACATACATGTGATATGTATCTACTTCCTATTTACTACCTGTGTACTCTGACAACACTACATGTGTTTAACATATACCGTACCTACCATACGTTCCAATGACGCCATGCATGCCTTACCTATCATACCTATCATACATACCACACATACCATACATATGAAACATCATTACCACACCAACCATACATACAATAGCAAATATACATGCCATACATACCATACCTACCTTACATAGGAAACATTCCATACCCATCATGGTAACCATACATACCATACAGACCATACATACTGTCATTTCAATCATACCATACCCAACAGACTTACATACCACACCTACCATCCATACAATACCAACCATTCATGCCATACATACCATACCTACCATACTTACCAAACATACCATACTTTCCAAACATGCCATACCAGACCGACCATACACACCATACATACCCAACATACCATACCACACCACCACACCACAGGGGGGGAGGGGGACAGTGCCACACCCCCACCACACCACAGGAGGGGAGGGCGAAGATCTCATATGGGGCCAGTATATGGGACCCATCCCATGGGGGGGGGGTGGCAGGGCCTGGTGCATATATATATACACACACATATGATTTTATATTATCATGTTTGGGGTGAGTGTCGCAAGTGAAATCAATTGACTGGATGTACTACGGATTTCTTTTTTTGTGATCAGAAAACGGGTTTGAACCCAGTTGGCCGGGTGTTCTCAATCCACTCGCAAGTTGGCCATCAGGTTGACTGCAGCCCGGATAGGCTCTTGGGCCAGGGGTTGTTTGGAACATCTGGGACCCGTTCGGATCTACAAGAACATATGCAGGGAGAAAGATGATAATCGGTCATCATAGTTGTCAAGGTTAACAAAGAATACAACAAATACCAACAAAAACAAAAAATGCATCCCAATAAGTATGCTGCAATGTTTTCTGTCCATGTTTGAGATGTTTCCCAATTTGGCTGGGTCTGGACACCTCACACAAAAAAAACTGACCAGCATGATTTTTGTAACACCCCAGGGAAGATCCTTCTGCCCCCAAGGCTGATAGGCCATCTGAGAAGATGCCGGATGAACATGGTGGGAAGAACCCAGGGCCGCTGCAAATAGCTGGTGAAATCCAATGAATTCCTAGGCAAATAGCTGGTAATTCACATCCCCATGTTCAATAGGAAAATCAGCAAAAACTCATCTGTGAAATTCTATCCATGGGTTTGAACGGCGGATTCTCTGTTGCCGTCTTTGATTCTCAGATTTGCAGTTTCTAGCCATGATTATTCATAAGCTATACACACACTGCGAACATATTACGATTCCCTCCATTTTGTGCCACTCGGGGGGTTCGTGAGCCACGCTGCGTCCAAGGTTCAAACTGCTGAGCAGTATGAATTTCTTCACAGGGCCTTGCCTGTTCTAACTGAGCAGCTGCGAGTGACCCGTCCGGCACACAAGTAGCGAAGCTTTGCTACTTGTGCTTGCAACAGCTATCCTGAGGATCGTGAAGGATTGGCGTACATGTTGCTGATTTTCTCTCACTTTGAAGGCAGGCCAGAATAAATCGAAGAAATCATCCATTGTGAACCAGGACCAAAACATCACAAAACTATGAAGCCTTTGGGGCCATATGGGGCCACCTTGCCATCTTTGGGTCCTTTGGAATAGTCTCGTCTAGAAAACCCTGCTGGCCATTTAGGACCTCGTGCAAAAGGTGCTGGCTGTGCTGACAGTTCCGAGATTTTCGTTGAAACATGTCGAAACTGAGCTGGGCTGGTGGGCTGGTGGAGTTGCTGATTGATGACTAAATCCATCTAACTCCCAGGTGCGAATGCCGCGAAGCTGCACTCTCCGGCAGCTCAAAGAGAGGCTTTATTTATCCAGGGCGGGTCGAAAAAACTTGTCCTAGGATCCTGGGAGTTTCAACAGTTTTCTATGAGAAATCACCACTTGAAATTAGTATGTAAATCATTTATAAATCGGCCTTGGCTTCCATAGCTATGTTAGATTACCAAAGGGTAAGTTGAAACAAATGACATTTCCTATTATATCCACATATTTCAATTTACCTGAGAAGGTAATCATTGAACATGGTCAATATGATATTGAAACACATACCAATTCATTGAACAACATCTTAACGTTTGAGGTTTGAGTCTTGAATCCTTAATACTTAAGGGGCTTGAGCAGGGTCACAGTCCGGACGTGAGGCTGGGGGAGCAGCTCCGCATTGGCAACGTGGAGGAGTGGTGCTGGAGAAATGTGCAGCATATGAACCATCAATAGTGTTTATAGACTCTATATATATATTAGAATATAATAATAAATAAATATATATATATATATATTATACCGTACAAATGGAGGTTTATAGCTGGAAAATGATCGAACTAAGACTAAACAGGAATTTTCTAGCAAGCCATGGAGCTGATTACCGGAAGGGCAAACCATCTTATGGCCTGAAACCAGTTTTTTCCCGAGAGCGTCTGAGCGCAGGGTTCTTCCAATAGTGGGGGTGTGTATCTCATCTTCTCATCTTCTCATCTTCACATCTTCACATCTTCTCATCCTCAGATCTTCTCATCTGCTCATCTTCACATCTTCTCCTCTTCACACCTTCTCATCCTCAAATCTTCTCCTCTTCGCATATTCTCATCTTCACATCTTCACATCTTCACATCTTCTCATCTTCAGATCTTCTCATCTGCTCATCTTCACATCTTCACATATTCACATCTTCACATATTCACATCTTCTCATCTTCACATCTTCTCATCTTCACATCTTCTCATCTTCACATCTTCTCATCCCCACATCTTCTCATCTTCTCATCTTCACATCTTCACATCTTCTCATCTTCACATCTTCTCATCTTCACATTTTCTCATCCTCACATCTTCTCCTCTTACCCTCTTGCCCTCTTGCTCTCTTGCCCTTTTGCCCTCTTGCCCTCTTGCCCTCTTGCCTTCTTGCCCTCTTGCTCTCCTTCTTTTCTATTTCTCTCTTGAAGGCGGGGGGCAGGGGCAGTGCCAACGAGACGGCACGAAACGCAACCCTTTCGCACGAAATGAGGTTCGATCGCCAAAAACTGAGGTCAAATTGCGATTTCAAGTTGTCCGGCGCAACCCTTTCGCACGAAATGAGGTTCGATCGCCAAAAACTGAGGTAAAATTGCGAGTTCAAGTCGTCCCGCGCAACCCTTTCGCACGAAATGAGGTTCGATCGTCAAAAACTGAGGTAAAATTGCGAGTTCAAGTCGTCCCGTGCAACCCTTTCGCACGAAATGAGGCTGGATCGCCCAAAACTGAGATAAAATTGCGAGTTCATGCGTCCCGCGCAACCCTTTCGCACGAAATGAGGTTCGATCGTCAAAAACTGAGGTACCCCTGTCGGTCCAAGTCCTCGCTAAACTAGGCCTTTGCTAAAGGCCTGGTTAAACTAGGCCTTTAGGACTGAGGTTTTCTCTATGTTATTTTTTTTGAGGTCGTATTTTTGTGAGACTTAGCCGAGCAAGGTCCCACCCCCAAAGTTATCCAATGCTTGAAAAAAGTTAGGGTGCCACTTCGAGATTTACGAAAATAGTGACACCGTGAAAAAACCGTGAAAAGGCCATGAAAAGCCAGTGAAAACCCCGTGAAAAGGCCGTGAAAAACCCTCAAAATCAGGTTTGTGCAAAAAATGCAAAAAGAATGGTTTTGCGATTTTGTGACCAATTTTTCTCATGAGTGCTCCCGCTCTATGTGGCTGCTGCTAATCTTGCGGTGCGGATTTCTGTTTTTTTTTCAAGGTATGAGTTTTTCGAGGCCTTTAGTCATTTAGGTCCTTTACTCTAACGGCCGCGTTAAACTCGTCCTTTGGACTGACTGGGTACAGTAAAATTGCGATTTCCGGGTTCCCGTCGCATCCCTTTCGCACGAAATGAGGTTCGATCGCCAAAAACTGAGGTCAAATTGCGATTTCCACGTCTTCCGGCGCAACCCTTTCGCACGAAATGAGGCTGGATCGCCCAAAACTGAGATAAAATTGCGAGTTCATGCGTCCCGCGCAACCCTTTCGCACGAAATGAGGTTCGATCGTCAAAAACTGAGGTACAGTAAAATTGCGATTTCCGGGTTCCCGTCGCAACCCTTTCGCACGAAATGAGGTTCGATCGCCAAAAACTGAGGTCAAATTGCGATTTCCACGTCTTCCGGCGCAACCCTTTCGCACGAAATGAGGTTCGATCGCCAAAAACTGAGGTAAAATTGCAATTTCTTCTGTGTGTAAACAAGTCTGTGTAAAAGCTTCTGTGTGCTGTGTGTAAAAGTTTTCCCCACATAGGCTTGTTGTGGGCGCGTAAAAATGCGTGATTTAGAGCTCACATGCAGGCCTTCTCATATTAAAAAAAAGTGTTAGACATATCCTCATAAAATGCTGAATTTGCTGTGGATTATTCCAGATTAATCCAAGAACCAAAAAAAACAATAAACAAAAAAAACAATATTTTCCAGACTAGTCTGATTATGGCTATATCCAAGTAGTCCCCAAAACATTGTTTTTTTTTTTTGTTTTTGTTTTTTGTGTGTGTTTTTTTTTGGTTCTTGGATTAATCCGGATTAATCTAGATTAATCTGGATTAGTCTAGATTAATCTAGACTAATCTTAGGCAATCCAGTCTGCAATGGATCTGCTGAAATTTGTTATGTCCTTCTAGCACTGTCTGCATGTGAAATCTATCTGTAAGTCTTGGCTCTAACAATATTTCTTTTGCTATCCTTCTGCGCCATGTCGTCTGTATATGAGCCAATAACTTTTGACTCATACCTTTCTGTTTCTTCATCCCAAGTCTTCACTTCATCAATCAGGACATTAATTTTACCACCGTATTTTTCTCTATAATATACTGCATCGTCCATCTTGTTGAATGTCATTGACTTGCTTTTTATGTTGGTTCCTTTTTCCAGTAATCCAAAGTTGATATTGGCAATCATTTTTTTAACAGCCTTGTCCAGCTTATCATCACTGCTGATGTCAGTTTCCCACAGTTTCTTAACTAATTTCTTGTAATCAACTTTATTTGTGTGTGATGGAACTTTATATGCTAGAATCTCAACATCATTAACATTTTTTTTTCAAAAACATACCGTAAACTAAACCAAATTGTTTATTCAACATCAAATTATAATATTTACATCTTACAAATTATAAAGTCAAATGTTCACAAAAGCTGATGTGAAAGCTTTATTAACATCAATTTCCACAAGCTGGTTTTTAAATGGTTTCTCGTTATCATATCTCCAAAAAACACCATTTGGGACTATGGTCCTGTAATCTCTTAATATCTGCATATCTTGTTTATCATAAAAGGACTTATGAGATGGTGAAAAAAAACTCTTATTAAATTCAAACAATGATGCTACTGTCCACCAATGATGCTACTGTCCACTGCATCCGCTACACAACTCTGACTTCTGACATTGAACACTACTGAGTTAAATTTCATTTTTAAGTTTTCTATCTGTCCCGCCTTCCAAGTTATAAAAGGTGTATACCCTACCCTTTTCAAATCACAAAATATCTGCATTAAATACTTTCAGAATGTATCAGGTTGAATTCTAATTCCTCATCTTTATTTTTCTGACACTCCCTTAGTATAGGCAAAATGTCATCAATGGTATTAAAGACTTTATACTCAACTGGTTTTTCATTCCTATTGAATATAAAATTACTTGATGCATTACAGCTAAAATTCATTTGATTTTTTTTTACGGGCTAGACTCACAATATTAGAATTTAAAGTGTAGATATGGTTATCTTTAACCAATCCAAAAAATGCTGGAATGTTTTTATTTTTAATCTCAGGGTCATATGAATAAAACTTGTATCCCCAACAGTTGTCTTTTCTGACTGGGAACTTGAAGTATTCAAAAACGGGTTTCATCTCCTCAACTGATGCCCCATTTTCTTTAAAGTCTTCATATGTTTTACCTATCAGTTCTAAGACCCTTTCTCTTGTTAACCTTTTGCTTTTCCACTTGTTAGGACTCATCAACGTATTTTTGTAATGGTCATTGAGTGAGTTAATCCAACATTCATCCTCAAAAGTACCATCATCACGTATTGCATCATAAAAACTATCATAACTTTCCTCTAACGCTGTGTTAATGTATGAGTGATACATACTTATCTGCTTTCCATCTCTCAGCATCTCTTCTGCTTCACTCTTTCTCTTCTTGCTTCTGCTTGTGATTTCTGAGATGTCTTATATCTTGATACCATCTGCATATGATTCAAGATTATGAAATTGTTGTCTGAAAATTCTATCAGCTTTTAACAGTCTTTTAAGTGTAGACTCAAACAACTCTGTGCTGTGGATGACTCAAACAAATCTTTTTCTAGGTGGTCCTTCTAATAAGTTCTCTTGCTTGAAGTTTTCAACAGTAGCTCTTGCATCATATTCTCTTTTTGATATCTCCTCTGTTGAAGCTTTGCTTTCAGAAACTTGATGAACTTTTCATACTCATCCCTGACTACATACTTGTTAATGATATTTCTAGGTATCAAATCCTTCTCACTGCTTTTTAATATTACCTGTCTTTCATCTATAATCATTTTATATTTGATTCCATAGTTATCAACAAATGCATCACCACCAGTGCCTGTATCAGTCTTGCTGTATACTCTAAAAGTGATTGCATATTCTTTCTTGGTATTGGCTCTCATTCTTTCAGCCAGTTCTTCATTAGTTCTCCATTGTGAAGCCTTCTTTTCAAATCTCCTGATAGCACCATTTACTGTTCTAGAGTTTTCACTCTTCAAGTCCTTTATCAATTTTTCTGCAGTGCTATAGTTAGCAATCTTCCTGTCAGAATAAAGGTCTATAACTTCTTGGATTATATCCCTTACTCTTTCACTTACACCACTCCTTAAGCCTCTTAAATACTGGGTTCTATCTTGGACAATTTTTGATGGCATTATAATATCACATAGGCTTGTTGTGGGCACATCTGCTGCCATAAACTTCCCACAAATCCTCAAAAGCCCGCGCCCACAACAAACCCATCCCAAAAGTTTCTGTGTGTAAAAGCTATTGTGTGTAAAAGCTTCTGTGTAAAAGCTTCTGTGTAAAAGCTTCTGTGTGCTGTGTGTAAAAGGTTCTGTGTGTAAAAGCATCTGTGTGTAAAAGCGTCTGTGTGTTTATTTGCGTCTGTGTGTAAAACCGTCTGTGTGTAAAAGCGTCTGTGGTGTAAAAGCGTTTGCGTGTAAAAGCGTCTGCGTGTAAAAGCGTCTGTGTGTAAAAGCGCCTGTGTGTAAAAGTGTCTGTGTGCAAAAGTGTCTGTGTGTAAAAGCGTCTGTGTGTAAAAGCGTCTGTGTGTAAAAGCTTCTGTGTGTGAAAGTTTCTGTGTGTAAATGCTTTTGTGTGTAAAAACGTCTCTGTAAAAGCTTCTGTGTGTAAAAGCGCCTGTGTGTAAAACTGTCTGTGTGTAAGAGCATCTGTGTGTAAAAGCGTCTGTGTGTTTATTTGCGTCTGTGTGTAAAACCGTCTGTGTGTAAAAGCGTCTGTGGTGTAAAAGCGTCTGCGTGTAAAAGCGTCTGTGTGTAAAAGCGTCTGTGTGTAAAAGCGCCTGTGTGTAAAAGTGTCTCTGTGTAAAAGTGTCTGTGTGTAAAAGCGTCTGTGTGTAAAAGTGTCTGTGTGTAAAAGTGTCTGCGTGTAAAGCGTCTGCGTGTAAAGCCTCTGTGTGTGAAGGAGTCTGTGTGTAAAAGCCTATGTGTGTAAAAGCGTCTGTGTGTAAAAGCTTCCGTGTGTAAAAATGTCTGTGCGCAAAAGCTTCCGTATGTAAAAGTGTCTGTGTCTAAAAGCATCTGTGTGTAAAAGCGTCTCTCTGTAAAAAGTTCTGTGTGTGAAAAGCTATTTGAAAGATACGATGCAAACTATTGTCTTGTACTTGTGCTATATTGTCTTGATACTCCTCTTCTCGACTGCCTATAACACATCTTTAATATACTGTTTTCTAATATGGTGTCTCCATACTAACAAGAGAAGACCCTGCTCCTCTACGCTCTCGGGCCATCCGTCGTCTAGTTTTTTAATGAACTGTCCACTGAGATGTCCTATCAGCCCACTGGGGAAAAAAGAGGGGACAATCTATATTAAAGAGAGGCGTAATTGTAAAGTTGTAACAGTGACCCACATTGCTTCAGAAAAGGTTCAAGAGCTCTTTCGTGCTGTGTGAGTCGACCCGAAGTCAGACCCTGAAATTGCATGAAATTGCTCCATCTGATCAGTTGCACAAGTAGGTAATGCTAGGTAGGTGGGTACGGTAGGGTAGGGTAGAGTAGAGGGGTAGGGTAGGGTGGGTCGGGTGGGTGTTGGGTTGGGTTGGGTTGGGTTGGGGCGGGGGGAGGGAGGGGGGGAGGTAGGGAGGTAGGGAGGTAGGGAGGTAGGGAGGTAGGGAGGTAGGGAGGTAGGGAGGTAGGGAGGTAGGGAGGTAGGGAGGTAGGGAGGTAGGGAGAGGGAGGAAGGGAGGAAGGGATGTAGGTATCAGAATCATCAAGCCATCGTACTTTCGCAGCTTCCAAATTCTCAGACATTCCATGAAATGTGGATCGTTTGCATTTGCTGTTCGTTGCAGGACTTTGCCTTCTTCCAGATGACCGATGGCCTACAAACACACAGGTTGGGGGGGTGAAACCTGTGAAGACCTCCGGGCCATATGGAGCTCATTTGAACAGTTTCAGTCTTGAGGATGTCCCGGATGTCCCATTATTTTTGGCATACATTGTGGAATCTTTTGTCCCAACCTACACAAGAAAGTCTTGGATTTGCGGGCCACTCTGTGACCTGAAGTGGCAGTGGTTGATGGATATTGATGGTATCCGATGATGGGGCATGGTTTGAACTTTGCAGCAGAGATCACGGATAATTTGGCGGGTTTTGGTCATACAATAGTGGATTTAAATCATGACTGTAAACCATCCATTTTCAGGAGAAAAAGTCATGACCCATATCCCGGTCGTATCAACTTCGCGCCGATCTTGAATGGATACTACAGATACCACATCCAATGAATTCCAATGATATCAGATGGTTCTATCATTGGAATATATGATATCATTGGATGCATGGTATCATATCATCCAATGATATCATATATATATAACCATAACATATGGTTGTAATGTTGCATGGTTGCCTTCCCTTATATAACCTGATGATGACGGATTCCCGCTATGACACTGCAGAATACTGCAGACGGAGGCGTCATGCACAGCAACCCAAATGTCCAGCAAGAGTATATGTCCACCAACGTTGACGCTATTCCTGAGAATTAAGAATGTAGCCAACAACCATGGGGATATGATATGACTATAATGGAGCCAGCAAAAAAAGTGGTACGTTCTGACAATGGAGTAGTTACCCCACTCATGCAGACGCGCAAAATGGTCTACTTTGTGCAAATGTGTAGGATCCCCCCAAGAATCACTGGACCCACACATAACGCCAAAAAGATCCAAAAAGATGTTCTTACATGTTCGCTTATCTGATACACAGCTCCTCTGCTCCTCTCCTGTGTTTCTCCCATGTTTCTCCCATCACTTTTTAGACCTTTTAAGGTGTTTCTGTGATGGTGAACCTTCAGGCTTTTGCCTGATGGCACCCAACTTGCTATGCTGGAAGAAAAGTGGGCCAAGCTCAAAGCAGCCACGCAACGAGCTGCAGTCTCAGGCATGGTCTCATGGTATCCCTTGGTAATGGTTGCCTTTATGGGAACATCAGCTATAGACCACAGTGGTTGACTGATTTTCCATTGCCAGGTTTGACTACCCGAGGGGTCCGCTTGCTCAGGCCTCTCATCTCCTGTTCAAGCGTCGCTTCATCAGCTTTGACGAGACCTTGAAGTCTGTGCCCCATATTTTTGGCATATCTTTGGCCCCCAAAAAAAGTGAAAGGCAACGGACAATACTTCCGGTGATGTCATGTGAAGAATGGGAATTTGACATGCCCATGGTGACATGGCTGACATGGTGTCCTCTCGGACATGCATGGATTGTTCGTTTGGCGATTAGCATCACGACCTGGCCCATGAATGATGGTCAGGAACATGAAAGGAATCATGGCCAGAGAAATCCGGTGAAAATGGCTTTAGCACTTTAGCAATCTTGATCCAAAGAAATCCAGAGAATTCAAGGAAGATCTTTGATCTGACTTGGAGAGCAACATCCTGAGTACTGGAAGGAATATGGATGATGAAACTTGCCAGTGCATGACCCGGCAACTCTTAGCCTGGCTAAGTCCGGGAGATCTGACGCACGCGACTTTGACCTATCGCCAGGCAGGGAATTTCACCGCGCTGTGACGGAATTTCTACTGAGCACATGGATTGTTCAAAGGGTTGCAATTCGGTGGTTGAATCTTCATATCTTCATCCTATCCGGGCATTTGAGATGATGAACCCAACACTGGGGTGGGAAGCCAACACAAATCTGTACCCTACCAGTCCGCCACAGGTGGTTTGGGACTACTTGAACTATCCGGTCGCAGAGGCCTGAAAGGATGTAAGATGATGTTTCTGAAACCATCCATAGCTGAGGTGAACCTCTTTTGAGCAAGATGAATGGATTTCCATAGCTCTGTTAGTTGCTGCATATCCCCATTATCTTCCCATTCTATCAGCGCAAGATTCATGATTTCCACAGCTATGTTAGATAATGTTAGATATATCCCTATCAGATTCCCATGATGTCCCATGCTATCACCATTTTTCCGAGTTCAATCCACCATGTTTCATGCTTAAACCATGGTTAAACGATGGATACGCGTCAGGCAGAAGACACGGTGAAGCACATCGCCGCTGCCATTCTACACCTGGAGCTGCTTGGATCATGGGATGGGGTTGTACCGGGTTTCGGGGGGTTCCATTACTTGGGGATCCCCAATAGCACTCAATAGCTGGATGGTTTGTTTCATGGACAATCCGACTATCCGACATTTCTCAATGGATGAGCAATGCCCAAAATGGATCGAAATGGATCGATGTCTGCTTGTGAATTGTTGGGATGGATACAACATGATATATATTTATATATACATATATTATTCATATATATATATATATTATGACCCAAACATGGGTACACATGTATACAAATGGCTGATCATGTATTGTGTCAAACCATTAAGTCTGTATCGTTCCCCATGTTGGATTCCGCCGAATCTCTCGGTCGCCGAAAGATCACTCGAGGTATGAACACTTCAGACTGTGCCCCTGGATGTTGGATTCCACTGGATCATCAAACAGACCAGCCCAATGGAGGGTTTCAGATCCCAAAAACCACGAAATTCTGGGTACATCTGGGTATATCTGGGTATATCTGGGTACACTCATGGTGGCCCCAATGGCTTGCCCCACAACTGCCATCACTTCGGGCTCTGAGATGCCCCGCATGGCAAAAAAAAACACTGTTCATGGAAAAACGGTGTGCCCACAAATTGGCTGATTCATAATAACCTTCCCCATCTTAGAAAAGACTGAGCTTTTCCCAACATTTTCAAATACCAAACCCATGTAGCAATGGGTCAAAGCCCAATGGATCCTCTGGTTTTCACATCAAAATAGCTGGGATCTATGAATGTTCATTCCCACACAATGGTATCTCTAGGTATAGATCCATAGCTATGTCTACTTTTTTTTGCTGTGCCATGGATCTTCGAAAAAGACGAATCGCAGGTACATAGAAGCGCGTCGCTTGGAGGATCCAGCGATCCTCCAACAATTGGTGCCGCAGGCTCAAAATCCAGTGTTCGGAGGGAGTTTTTTTTCCCCACCTGCCAGGTGAGGGTTGTTAGATTTTATCAGAGTTGTTCTTCTCCTTCCTCCTTCTCCTCCCTCCTTCTCCTCCACCAAGTCCACTTCTGCCACTTCCATGTCCACTTCCGCCTTGCCAACTCTTCAACCTGGGACCTGCCAAGTTCAGTGAGCACCGCTGGACCTCAACCTGGGACCTTCCGAGCTCAGTGAGCACCGCTGGACCTCAACCTGGGACCCGCCGAGCTCAGTGAGCACCGCTGGACCTCAACCTGGGACCTTCCGATCTCAGTGAGCACCGCTGGACCTCAACGGCCAGATAGAATGCCAGAAGATATGCCAGATAGAACGCCAGATAGCATGTCAGATAGAATGCCAGAAGATATGCCAGATAAAATCCCAGAAGATATATATGCCAGATAGAATGCCAAAAGATATGCCAGATAGAATGCCAGAAGATATGCCAGATAGAATGCCAGATAAAGTGCCAGAAAGTATGCCAGATAAAGTGCCAGAATGTTTGCCAGATAGAATGCCAGAAGATTTGCCAGATAGAATGCCAGATAGGATGTCAGAAGATATGCCAGATAGAATGCCAGAAGATATGCCAGATAGAATGCCAGATCGAATGCCAGAAGATATGTCAGATAGAATGCCAGAAGATATGCCAGATAGAATGTCAGAAGATTTGCCAGTAACAAAACGTATAAATGTCATGGTGGGGATCACACGAAGTAAAGTATTTTTAAATTTTACCATGGTTAGTAACCATAGTAACCATGGTCATAGGGACTTACTCACCAGGCTTAACCAGGAAGTAGAGAAGATCAACCTTCGGGGGCCCATCTTGCCACAAAAATGACATATATAATATGTGCCATATTTGGGGTGACTTTATCCATGTTTATCATGTATCCATCTAAATCCCATCTAAATCCATATAAATCCCAGCTGTTTTGGTGTGAACTAAAAAAGGGGATTGCCATTTTCACAGCTCGCAGCTCGCAGGTGTCCTTGAGAAACCGACAGTACCGCATGTGGAGCAGCAAGGCAGGGGATCCCAGGTTTGGACATGTGGTTTCCATTGGACATTCATTTCATGGATCCCAATGTTCATCCAAATTCAGTTGCATCAGATTTTAAATGTGCTTTCCATTGGAGCTGGCTCCTTGTATCCATATGGGGGTTTCCAAAGTCATGGGGGATCCCCAATAGCTGGTTGGTTTATAATGGAAAATCCACCCCAAAAAATGGATGATAACTAGGGGTACCCCCATGACTATGGAAACCTCCATATCCTTAAAGTTGCTGCCTTTTTTGGTCGCTCGTCCATGGTTTCCCAGATTCTGGACGCTCTGGATGAGATCCGCTCGAAGCGTACGCCGCACCGAGCTCGCAGATGGTGAATCCATGTGAATCCACAACTTATCATGATGGGGTATAAGTATAGTATAGTAATAGATTGTTTAAAAAATTGAAGAGAAACTGATAAATACCTGTGAGTAAGACAACATGGATACTTCATGCTACTCAAAGATGGTTGGGTTAGAGTCAGAGGGAGCTCCTATTGAAGTCCATCATATTCTCAGATGACATCTTTAAATATCTTCAATCTTTTTGGATCTCTCGGAGTAGTGAGTCTAAGGGATGGATCAACCCTGCGAAAAGTACTGGGTGTATGTCTGTGACCAGGTTTCACCATGTTTTCGTGGGGGCTGTTAACGAAATATGATTGGGGGAACTGATTTGAATTCCTGCCATGAACTAACTAGCACCTGCCGCTGCTTTTCACCATGAAGGTGAGTCCTTAGAGGCCTCGAGGCTCATGAAAATGAGTGCAGCCTGGGTCCACAGCGCTGTTACGATGCATGGATACTGTAGAAAGTTAGATGCTACGAAGTTGATTGTAGCAGATATGGCTGTAGATACCCTGTGGACTTCCCCTGTCGCCTGTAGCTGTGGTGAGATGACTCACCACAATCTGGATGCTCAGTTTATGTGATTTCATGTGATTATGGCATTGTGGTATGGGTTTGTTCATGTTTGTTCGAAAGATACGACTCCCTTAAATTTGAGAGATCTCCCCCATTCTTCATGTATTTTTCTGGTTGTACTGTATAAACATCAACAAAGACACGGATGGCGCTCCGAAGCTGGCACCAGAGGTCCTTGAGAAGGCCAACAAAATGCAGCTCTTTGGTGCTCACTTCTGGCTGGGCCGTTGGGAAGCCACAGATGGGATGCCAATGATGGCACGAGTTTTGATTCACGAGTTGATGCCATCGTTTTTTCTGGAACTCTGAGAAATAGTTTTTGAATGCTTTTGATATGATGATGTGATATGATGTGATGTGATGTGATATGATATGATATGATATCATATCATCATATACTATCATCATATGAATATCTAGATAGCAATTTATATGAATATTATATGCTGATATCAGAGGTTTTCAGCTTGTATCGTCGATTTAGAGAACGATTTCGGACTTGGCTGAGGTCAGGTGGAGGGTGTTCCAGCGCAAGATGCGCCAATACCAGAGGTGCTGTGACTCTTTCAGTTGGGCAGCGAAGTGAATAGCTGCAGATTGTGGAAGATTTTCCTTGAAATATCCTGATATTCCGCAGTCTCAAGATGTTTCTCCATGTCTTACATACATACGTATATATATATATAGTATACTTATTATATATATATATATATTAATGGGTTCCACTGATTTCCAACTACTTCTTTGATAGTTTGATAGCTTTCAATTTTAGCTATTTTAGCTGCTGGGACATCGTACGCTTCAAACGCTGTTCCATTCTATTCCCTATCAAGAGCGTGCTTCCCTGAATCATGTGGTCAACCTACCTTAAAGATCCATCATGTCAATTGTTTTCTTCTGAAATAACTACCCCGGGTACAACTGACTACTGTACTACTGGTAGATTAGTAGGTACAATGTACTTTGATTTCGAATTCTAAAGGCGGAACAGAAATTATGTGGGAGTTTCAGGTCCAATTTTGAGTCATGACATGGGGATTCAGAAGTCTAAGCACCACTTTTGGATGATTGGCGGAGATCTAAGCCAATGGTAGGGTGATGATTCAGGAGTCTATCAAAGACTTGGACACTGGATTTGATTTCGAAGATGTTTTCCTTGGACACAGTAGCCTGTGATCTAAGAAAGATATGGAAAAAACAAACACCATTCATCATTTCCAAGCGGGAAAACCATGGGTTTCCAAAGCTGATTTTTTTTTCGATGATCCATGGGAGGTTCCCAGTAAATCGTCTGCCAGGCTCCGAGCAAAAACTGCCCCATCAATCGGAAGGCGAAGAAGCCTGGTGAGTTTGGAGCTCGGGCCGATTTTTCAGATCTCAAGCATCAACAGACCTGGTCTTAATGGGGCTTATTGGGATTTAGTGGATCTTTATGGGATTTAATGGCGATTTAATGGGGTTTAATGTGGTTTTAGTGCGATTTCATAGGGTTTTAATGTGATTCAATACCCAACAATGGGGATTCGAATGTCATCAACCATAGCTGGCTGGGAAATCCCGCAACTATCCATGGAGGTTCATAGCTAGGAAAATCATGAATGAATTTCCATTGCCAGGTGTGATTACCAGGGGGTACCTGCGGATGCGCAATCTCAACTTAGGGGGGCGACGTTTCATGACTTTCTATATTTTCTTGGAACCCGATGAAGCAATGTTTGAGGAGCCCAGCATGTACCCTTCAAAGGCAGCAGCTGAGTCAGAGTCATGGTCCGATCAACTGGAAGCCGCTTAGATTGCTGGGGGTAGATGTGATCTTTGAGGCTAATCACATGAAAATGTCATTATTTCATATTATTTCTATGTCACTTGATGTCACTTGATGTCACTTGGATTTGTTGATCCCTGACCAGAAGCATCCAGAAGCTTAGGTACTGGATTTGTGCGGCATCTCAGCACCTCGCAACACTCGTCTCGTGGGCGTAGACTCGTCCCTTGGGCCTGTGGCTGACGCATTTAGATCCCCAGTTCCTGGGTGATGATGGGAATTCGATATATTACATGATTTACATGAAGTCTTACATGAAGTTTTTTTTTAATGATTTTATATTTCTTTATGGGTTTGTTTGAACATCATGTTCCCCATAAAATGCCATAAATTAGTGGTAGCTTTGTAGGTTCCGAAGCTATTCCCCAGGTGTGGATCTCTTTGGTGTGCGCTTCGTGACAGCAGATAGCCAGCCAAGAGCTGAGAAATTTCGATCCGTGGGTCATCAACCATCGGATTCAGTGCATGGTTTTTGCTGTTCAGCTGATGTAGGGGGAAGATTTCTCCAGAGGGCAAGCCTCCCATTGGGCGTGTGTGTTGTTTCTTGTTTCCCGATTTTGTATTAAGATTGGGGGATCCACTGATCTACGCTCTGTTTCGATTCGAACATCCACTTTTGGGAGTACGCCATTTTGAGCCACATTTCCTCATGTCTTGCAGCCAAGATGGGAGGATTGTGCGGGAACTTTCAGTTTTTCTCACACCCAACTGGCGATGAATTTTACTGTTACCCTGATTGATTGCTGAACAGATGGGTATCCCTCCTTTAACAACAAATGGATTTTACTGAAGTTAAACATTTCAACTCAGAACTGGTATGCCAAACCCGGAATCAACAGAGACTCGACCATAACAGCAACTAACTTCTTTGAGAATGCCGGCAAAGGGCCGAATCTACCATTTCAGCCCTTCCAGCAAAGATCTAGCATATGTATATATACATATACATATATATATATACAGGGATCACAAAAAAGATAGAGACGTTCTTCTTTCATATTTTGTGCTCCAATTCTCAAGATTTTTGCGGATTAGTACATGATGTGGATACCATATACTGTTCTCAATGGGTGCCACAGTCATAGACCCAGAAGTCTGTTCAAAATGTTGCTTCCACAGCCATGTTTCATCCATGGTGTTTTTTTCATGCCAAGATGCCGAACGTGTACCAGGATGATGCCGTTCGATGATGTTTTCCCCATAATTTCCAGGTGTCCACCTGTTCAACAACGATTTGGAGTTGCTATAGATGCTGGATGGGTTTGAAAATTGGGTACCCCAAGATCCAATGGTCTATCGTATCTATCATCCATTTTCCCATCAAAAAAGGTAACTTTGTGGTACACCCCATTCTCAGACAAAGCCAGATATCAAAATGTTGGTGATACCCCATTATACCCCATTGTGTGTTGGGTAAATCCACATTGTTTGTTGCTTAAATCCCATTTGGTCCACACCCACTTGTGGTGTGATCTTATTTCGATCATATATATTCATATATATATATACAATTTGTTACAATTACTATATATATTATAATTTAATATATATATAATACATATCCATTATCCTCCATGATAGTTGGGTAAATCACCATGGTTGGAGTTTTTTCTCATCCCATCCGAAAACACGGAGGCCTGGGCAGAGCTTTTCCCGCGGCTTTCTCTTCAATGAGGAAACCTTGGAAAGAGCCCAGCAGCTCAGGACCTTGCGAAAAAGCATGAAAAAGCTCATGGGCAATTCTATGGCTAACACATATCAACAATATCACATTATATACTCAACATATGCTCAACATGATTTATACATATATATATATATGTACATACATATATTTATATATATATACACATTATACAACATATATATACCCTAGGCTTCGGCGTCGTAGTTTAACCATGATCCAGTACAACGTCGTGTGTTTACTTCATATAGGCTATCATGTTCATCCATATGCATTCCCATAGCTGTCTCATGCTCTTGAAGATAACCCCGGAAGCTGTGCCAATTTGTGTGCCTGGATCTTAAAGGTTGATTTGGTTTTGACAGCACATGTGGTCATATTTATTAATGATCCTTTATCTAGTTCCCAGGTCATGTTGGAGATGGTGAGATGCAAAGGGCTTTGAACCAACGTCCTTCACTCAGAAAAAAACAAGGCTTGAAGATATGGATGGGTGAACTGTCTTCCCAAGTTGATTCTATCCTGTCTATCCCAGGCTATGCAGCTGCTGCTCCAGGTGCCACCCCCCCTTGCCTTGCCGGACCTGATTTTTTTTGCAGATCCTTTACATTTTTTTCATGTTTGGGTGATCAGTTCTGTGAAACTGAAATGCCTTTTTGCTCAAAGGGTCCAGCAACAATGCCAACATCTAAACCAAATGAAGAAGTGGTGGCGAAACTGAAGGCCTGCTTCTGGCTCTTGATCGAACTGTGTTTTTGAGATGACAACCACATATGACCAATCCGAGTTTGATTATTTGATGTGCAACAACATTACTGCACAGGACTTTTTCGGTGGGCTCTTTCTGACACAGGATTCCTACAGGGTAGACAGGCCGCATCTTCAAAAAATGTAGGTGTCATCATGATCAACTTGATATTCAATGGACAAATGCATATTCATTCATCTCATCTCGCTTGAATACCTTTTTCTTCAGGTTCAAAAAGATTGCCAAATTGAAAGGGATTCCAGAAGAGGACGTGAGGAGAGATCTTTACCGTAAGAAGGCTTGCATGCGGATCAAACATATCAAACATATATTGATCAATATATTACTTTGATTTCTTGCAGGCTCCGTGTGAATTCTCCTTTGTGGACATCGGAACCTAGAAGAGCAAAGGCGTTGATCACACCCAGGCTTCTGGATTCCTTTGCTCTGCATTTGGAAGCAGGATATGTCAGCGAAACTTACTGTTGGATTATTAATTATGACTTGTTTGTGCTGTTGAAACCATTCCTGGAGGTCATTCAGGATACCAACTTTGAGCTGTTGAAGCCATTCCTGGAGAAGTTTGCAGTACAATTTCCTACAGGAAAAGAAGCCCAGGCTTGCTGAAAGATTTCCGAATCACAGCTCTACATGTCAAAGCAAAATTGTTGCAGGCTGCACTTGCGGCTCTTGCTGTGGAACATCGGTTGGTCAATAGCCAAGATGAAAGGGATCCGACTGTCCAGGCACCATCGTCTTTACAGATCACTGCCAATGTTTACTTTAATGTAAGGGAATTTGATTGTGTCGATACGATTGGATTCAAACAGATTCCTCGAATTTGAAACTTGAGTGATTGATAAACAGATTGTGAGACATCAACTGCAGCATCGGTCTTCACTCATTGGCCTGGCACAGGCGTGGGCGTTGCAGGAAGGAAACGCAATTCGAGCTCTGGGAACCTATGTGATTACGCGGTGCTCACGAACATCGGTTGGAAGGCAAGGCCATGAGGTGAATGTAGATTATATAGTACGTATAATGTAGATTCAGTCACTATCCATACTTTCCCTAAGGATCCATGTATGGAATATTTACCTACATTGGGGTTATTTTAAATTACTTTAGGGGTCAATGTAGGTAAATATTCCATACATGGATCCTCTGGGTTTATTTACTGACAACTTCCTGGTAACGCTGGTATCACTCTTTTTGTCCGCTCGCTTCGGAGTGACCTGTGCACTGTGCTCACACCTGCAGTGGTAATTTATTGATCTTTATCTTTAATGCTTTGTTTTGTTTCGCAAGTTAGACTGTTTAATGGGGGCCCAGATGCCTATGTGATGATACTGATCTCTGTGTTACCACTGCAAGCATGTTTCGACTATCTTCTACTGGGAATGCCAACCCCTCTTCCTGTGGAACTTTCTGTCCTTCTGAATCTCCTTGGTGGCAGCGTCGATTCTCTCTCTGCTACGGAACTTTCTGTCCTTCTGAAACTCCTTGGTGTCAGCGGAACTTTCTGTCCTTCTGAATCTCCTTGGTGTCAGCGTCGATTCTCTCTCTGCTACAGGGGAGGCCAACCTCTCTTCCTGTGGAACTTTCTGTCCTCCCGAATCTCCTTGATGGCAGCGTCGATTCTCTCGCCCACTGGCACTATTGGTCCATCACTTGGACTTGGGTGATCCAACGGCCAGTTCGCCAGACGTAGCACCCTTTCCTCGTCAGACTCGTGACAACTCGCAAGTGATGTTTCTGCCGGCGAAGTCGGTGAACACACCGGTGCCACTGCAGGTCGTGGAGGATACCCCCAATAGAAAGAGTCACCAAGGAAAATTTTCACTTTCCCATACTGTTCCAGCATGAAGGCTGCCAAGGCATCATCAGCTTCGGCTGCCAAGGCTTCAGACTCCTCCAATCTTCGCTTCTTCTCCTTCTCCTTGTCCTCGAGCTCCATCCTGAGTCTGATCTCCTCCATTTCCTTCTCATCCTGCATGCGCTTCTCATTGAAGCTATCGGTGAGCTCCTTCAACTTCTTTGTCTCTTCCTCAAGCCGCTCAACCAATTTTGCAGATGCTTCTGCACGTTCCAGGGCACTTTGTGTGACGTCCCTGATTTTGTGCAAGGTCTCCTCAAACGCACAATCCATCGTCGGGTGATGGCACGAGTGATTGTTTTGTCCAGGTGTTCAATCCATCGGGTGATGGCATTATCGTTTGCACAACTGCTTAGTGTGAAAATATGTATCACCACATTGTCTCAGCATTTGACAAATGATGTGAATACTAATTGCAGTAATGTTTTGCCGATAACATGTTCTGTCCACATGTTCTGTCCACATGAGCTATGGTCAATACTCATGGTTAATAACAATCAATAGGGGCTAGTCATCCAATGGTTCATAGGGATTTATACTAACCATTATAAGGATCCTTATTATGGATGGGATGACCATCAACCAAATAGTGAGTATTGACCACGGCTCACATGTTCTGTCCACATTGTGTTCATTGTTCAGCACTGAGCCGACACTGCAATTCATTCATTGATAGTTCTCAACATCAGGCATCCAAGACTGCAAAATCTGAAGGACGTTGTGAAGAAGCAGTTCGAGGTTTCAATCATTTCGAAGAGTGCATTGAAACATGCAAATCATCCCCATAGGATCCATGTATGGAATATTTACCTACATTGACCCCTAAAGTAATTTAAAATAATCCCAATGTAGGTAAATATTCCATACATGGATCCTTAGGGATCGGCAACAACATTTGCTGATCGTGCATGGAATCGTCAAGCGAAAGACCAGTCGCACCTTCATGAAGGTTTCTCCGAAGAAGACACCTGAAGATGCCAAAGACAGGACTCATCAGCAGCAACATCGTGCATGAGACCTGTTCATTTAAAGTGCTTTAAGAAATTGATGAGGATTGTTTCTTTACGGCAGGTCAGGATGCATCTGACGAAGAATCTGTGGAGATCATCGAAGAGGAGGAAGAGGAATCGGAGTTTGAAGACTATATGGAAGTCTGCTCCTCATAAACTCATGACTTGGGTTTGCTATGTGAAATACTTCCAAATTAGGTTGATCTTCGCCCTGAGAAACCTCAACCTGCCAGCAACTTAGAGCCATGCAATTAGAATAATATCTTGATGAAAACCTGGCACATTCAACTTCATTACCATCTACTGTAGTACTTTCTCAATAGGGAAAATTAATTGGTTTACAAGAGGAGTCTGACAATGTTCCATGTCATTACATTAAATTACTGCAAGTGGGTCAACATGTAGTTGAATGCTACAAACAAATGATGTTTTTGCTGCGACAATATTGATGCAACATGATGCAACATTACCTCAAAGTTATTGTATGTACATGATATATGGATTCGAATCATATTAGAACCAGATTCCAGCTGAAATCAGGTGCTTCCTGAAGAAGAACCCGTGGCCTCAAGCTCTGCTGCAGCTGATGAACCTGAGCCAATGGAACTGGAGATTCCAAACCTCTTTTCCGACTCAAACATGGACAAGAAGGGGGCGCTTCAGGACCAATGCCTAATTTGGTTTGCACATGTTACCACATATCAATGATGCTATCAACATGCGAATTTCTGGCAGGATCGAAAGCCAGGTTTACCTGTTCCACCTAAGCCTGAGCCATCCCTGATGAGATTGGCTTCTACAGCTGCCTTGGACCTTGCCAGTTCTCAGGAACGTGGAACGCAGAATGCCGAAGATGTCCTACAGGCTGCTTATATTGATGGTTGTGTTCTTTATGTATCATTCACTGCATCTAATGAGCATATTAGATTAGAGCATATGAATTGATATATTAATTATATTAATGGAGCCGGTCGGATGTGAAATTTTCATTACATTGGTCCTTGATTTGTGTTAGCTCTAATGTATTTCACATCCAAACGACCAGTTGGATGTGAAATGTGATAACGAATAGGTTATGGGGCATTTCACATCTGAACGGTCTATTGAATATAACATTAGTATGAGTAAATAGAAGATTTGATTACTATTCTTTGATGTATTTCACATCCGAGCCATCACCTGGATGGTGTTGGATGTGAAAAGATAGTGGTTCAATAATTTCACATCCGAGCCATCACCTGGATGGTGTTGGATGTGAAAAGATAGTGGTTCAATCATTTCACATCCGAGCCATCACCTGGATGGTGTTGGATGTGAAATAATAGTGGTTCAATAAGCAGATAGCATGGTATCCAAGTGATGGTCTTTGAAACGATATTGATATCTGTTTGCTATTGTTATTCGTATTGATAGTCAGCAATTTGTTCAGTCAGGCACAGAAAAAGATGAGAGCAGCCCTGAGGGATGATGAGCAAGGAGATGTATCAGTTGAAGACATGAGATTCAAGAAACGCACTGCCAAAGGAAAAGGTAAAGGGAAGAAGTCTACTCAGGATGGCGATGGTCCCACTCCCGATGAGCTCGAGGCTGAGGATCAGGAGATCCGTGATGCTGATCATGCTGATCTCAACACGGGCACTTCTCGACCTGGAAGAGGTAAGGGAAGGGGCCGTGGTCGAGGAAGAAAGAAACGTCAGCATGGGAAAGATTCTCGTCTAACCTTTGGAAACGGAAATTGTCGGTAAGACAGGTCACTTCAAAAGTTGTGTTGTCAAGTGCATTGTTTGCAATCATATTCTCTGGCTGTAAGGAAGCAGAAAGTAGTGGCAAGAAGAAACAGAAGTTGAAGGAGGACTTATGATTATGTTTGATGTTGCAAGAGCTTTAAAAAGTTAGAACTTATGAATCTGTACTGTCACAGCAGAGCTCAAAGGACAAGAAGAATTCTGATGGTGGCAACAAGGCGCAATCTCCTGGAACTCTTCAATCATTCTGTCAACGGTCCTAAGTGATCCTGGGTCTTTCTGCCAGGATGAAGTTGAAGAGAAAGAATCTGATTCAGATGAAAAGGACTATTCAACTGATTGCATGACTTGTTCAACAATTTTTGAGACTTAGGGTGGGAAACCTATACCAGTCCAAAACGAAAAAAAATGCTGTCAAAATGTGCGCAGGAGAGCAATGAATCTAAAGGCGACATGCCAACTGATTCGAAGGCTCAGTTATGACATGTTTATAATGGAAAGCAATGATCAAGACATAAATGAGAAGCATTGCGTCCATGTCGCAAAATCACTTGTTCACAAAAATGTTTGATACTGATGCGACCCATTGTTTGAAATGTTGGATATACTATAATTATAATATTGTCTGAACTGATGTAATTGTGTCAGGATCCAGAGTTGCCCAAGCCGGATGGAGAGCAGGACAGAACGTACGAAACAGTGCATGTTCGATGTTGGTGTGAAAGCTGTTTTCTACATGCCAGGAAAAGAAGCCCAATAAGCCCAGAAAGGACATGTCATCCATCAAGATTGCGATTTTTATAGGTGGCTCTTCGCCACCCTTTTTTGGTTGCAGGAGCCAACTGCACTGCGATATGCTCACAAGGCCCGTCAGTATGTCATGACGTCTTCTCCCCCATCTGTTCCATTTGGCTTCCCTGCTCTCTGTGTGATCAGGTGCGGGATTCCAACCTGGCCAGGATCACAGAGGTTGCTTCAGATCTCTCAGGTTTTGAGATTCCAGATCTTGCCCCGAAACAGCAGTTGGAAACCTAGCTTTGAAGTTGAAGACAATATTGCATCAAATCAAGTTTATCATTCGTTTGATTTGTCACATGAAGAGCTGGGGATTGGCTTGCTTGCAAGCCTATTATATAATTACGGCTATCTTGCAAGAAAGAGGTCATGGACTCTTCGACCACCAGATGACACCGATGATGGTGCATCTCCGATACAAGTTTTGCCGGATCCTCAATGACTTGTTGATTGAAATGCAAAGATTCATTACCCATCAACGTTGTCCTCTGATGTTGTTGAACATGTGTTTATAGATGCATGCATGTCATTTGTATTTTAACTGCAAACTCTTAGGCTGGTGGGGTCCTTTTACGTGTCCCAACTGAATGAAGAGACTGCAACGTCATGTGGAACGGAGGTGTTTTTGTTGTTGCTGTGCAATGTGTGCAATGTATGTTTATGTTTTGCAACTTCACAATTTACTCTGTTATGCTGGATTTTGCAGGCAAACAGGAAAGGGGGTCTTACGTTGACATGGAGCAAATTTCCTTCGATCGCTGATGCGTCGTGTCCTCAAGAAGCCTAAATTCAAAAACCAGTTTTATACTGAAAGCAGCATTGTCCAGAGATTCATGTGGTGATATGGTCTATACTGATTGGTGGTTTCACCCCCTTCGAAAAACTCTATTCAATTGGGATTATCATTCCCCATGCATGGATCATGGACACATGGATCTTGGGCAGCAAACTCGTACTCTTTTTGACCCGCGTTCAAGACTGCACATCATTGGCACAGAATCGGTTCATTTCCATTACTTCTGCACATTGTACTGGCTCTCTGTCATCTCACATTGTCTCATTGCCTTGCTCTTTTTCCTGCTCCTCTATCTCCCTGTCCCTGTCACCAAAGCGACGCACAGACCATGTGGCCCTTACTTCTGTGGCACCGTCAGTCTCCATCCATGAGCAAGAGGAGACCCGGGGTGGAATCGTTCGGGGCACTCTTGGCTCTGGTTCAATTCGCCCTGGAGGTAGTGGATCACCAACTCCCATAGTTGCTTTCCTTTTTTTCGGAGGCGGCACTACTGCAGCAGGAGGTTCTGGTGGTAGTTGATCTTGCATCATCTCGGGGACGGACTTGGCATGGGTCTCCACCAAATGGGCCGGAGCTGGGATTGTAGGCGGTGAAGGTCTCTTTTTTGGCTTGATCTGCAAGATAACCGGTTTCTTTGATCCCACCTCAATCTCTTCTTCATCAGAGATATCCTGAATCTCCTGAGCCTTCCACTTTTCCCACTCATCTGTCTCCTCAATTTTCCACTTTGCCCAATCGTCATCGTGCCAGTAACTATTGAGGACCCAGGATTTGTCAACCATCCATGACTCATCATTCCAGGACTCATCATTCCATGACTCATCGTTCCATGACTCATCGTTCCATGACTCGTCATTCCATGACTTGTCATTCCATGACTTATCATTCCATGACTCGTCATTCCATGACTCATCATTCCATGACTCGTCATTCCATGACTCGTCATTCCATGACTCGTCATTCCATGACTCGTCATTCCATGACTTGTCATCCACATCACCTCGTCCATCATCATCTTGTTCTATAACCTCCAACTCAGGCTCGGGTTCGGCAACACCAGGGTCAAGTCCACCACCAGTAAAGAGTCCAAACACTGGGTTGAAGGCAGAACTCGGGAAGTGCCATTGGCTTGCAGGTCCAGCAGGCATCGGAGGAAATGGTGTCATCACGGGCATCCTAGGCAATGGGGTCATCAGAGTAGGCATCGGAGGCAACGGGGTCGTGAGAGCAGGCGGAGGAGGCAATGGGTTCATCGGAAAAGGTTGAGCAGGCATCGCAGGCAATGGGAAAGGCCATGTGTTCACCGGATGCCCTTTGGGCACCACAGGAGGCCTATTAGGCTCCCCATCACTCCCATCGGTCATTGCGGGGGGCAGTCTCGAGCAAAACAATATATAAGTACCACATAAGACACACACAATATATATATATAGATCTATACTGGTTGGTGGTTTGGACCATTTTTGATGCCATAGATGCAACATGTGCTGATTTCAACTTGATTTTTCGTTGTGGCAACTGCATTAATTTCATTATCGAATGCTGCTTTCATTTCTGATTCTGCTGAGGTGGAAAGTCGCCAGGTATTTGGCCCAATGGTCAACTGAGGGCCTGGATGAAGGCCTTCTTGAAATCCTGAAAAGCCAGAAGCGCTTGCCTCGCAAAGCTGGCGTCTCTGTTGAGTGAAACAAATATAACCTAGGGACGTCATATCAACATGCACAAGCAGCCTTTTGTAATCCATTGATGTCCATGCCATTTGCTTCAGAAGAGTTTCTGATATGCTATATCGCCCAGCTTTGAGATCACGATGTGCGATCGTGTGGAGTTTTTGCTTTGTTCGAGTTAAAAAAAAATCAAGAAACTGAACATTCAGGTAATGGAGTAGTGACATGGCAAGAAATTGCATACTTGCAACCATGCAAATCATAATGCCCATTTGAAAGCTGGCCTGGTTCGACGTAGCGACGCAGGAAAGCACCTCGTTTTTTTTTTCACATGGGGCGACGAAACTCGCCTCTTTCCCTGTCTCGCTCCAATGTCATTTTGTTATTGGCCTTTGGACTTCCCACCGCACTGCTTGTGTCTCAGAAGTTGGTGTTTCGAACGGAAGTATGTCAATCGAACATATATCGTGTATGGGTTGTATGTTGCAGTCATAAGTTCAATTCGACTAGTATGAACGCTGTGGTGCTGAGGATCTCACTTTGTGATGCTGTGGTTGAACTGACACCTGCAGAGTCACCACATGACCAACGAGTTTGCTGCTCAGGTAATATGCTACGGTGTGAGAAGTTACCACACAATTTGCACATTCTTGTTGAAGCCTGTCAGGATCTGTGGTGTCTCGATATGTTCTCGGGAAAACGCGCAATATACCACTACTGGAGCCTGGATCTTACAATATCGCTACTGGAGATCATTGTGCTTCTCAGACTTTGTCATATATGCATGCAGTACAATACACACTTGTCAATGTGTGATGATACTTGATTATATTACTTTACTGTACTATATTTCCTTTGGACAACAGGTTCTCGCGGATACAAAGCGTCGAGTGCTTAATGTCAACTTGCTCAACGTTTGTTGAAAGGGGATCAAAGCATGCGTAATAATAATGATTTGGTGGTCAGGCAACATTATGACGTGGAGGATGGTTCCCACTGTGATCTGTCTACGGCGTCCTGAACTTGGCTATGAAATTCAGAATTGCATGAGATTCATTAGATCTAGATGTCTTTGCAGTTTGGATTCTGCTGTGGTCCTGAACTTTAGCGAAACATTATATGTTTGTTCCAAATTAGGTTAGGTTTTGCTTTGGCGCTACGACTGGTCCTAAGATTGCGCCCTGGAGCCTTATTGTCTCTGGGGCCGCCTTGCGGCTCATTTGTATGGTGTAATTTGGCGACGAGTCTTAGAACTGTGCTTCGGCCACTGGGAAATGTTGACTTGCCACATGTCGTCTTGGGCAATGTGTTTCTTGGACTAAAGTTGTTCTGCATGAACGGTGTGTCACAAAATAATTCCGGCAAGTCACAAGAGCAAGAGTTCTGAAAAAAATAGTTTGGGGATTCCTAAGTGTCAGACTGTTTTGAACATCATCGAGGCTCATGGCCAGAGCTCTTTGCTTGGCCTTGGTGGCCACAGTCAGAGGATGTTATTGGGTCTTGGAGCAGCCCTTCACTTCAACGGCTCGTTTCTTTCCAACGATGGTGCACGTAAATCGTATGATTACTGGATTTGTCATGCCTTGCTCCTCCCGCCAATTCTTGTCACTAGCCTGCAACTAAGTGTTTGGCAGATCGGTTCTTATTTGACCATCATCCAAGAACTCTGCCACTCCTTGCCCAGTTGGATGGGATCGTGGGGATCCAGAAGTGCAAAGCCGAGTGCGGCATGGGGAATTCAGCCGTATGCCCAGGTAACGGAATGACCTTTGTTTGGAGAAGCTACACGATAATCAAGATTGTGACACATTGCTACATGTATTAATGAACCAGTGATGTCATGTAAGTAATTCATTACAATTACCACTTAGGCCTCAATTGGGGAGATTGTACCGAAAGTTGAGCAAGAAACGTCGCGCAAAATTGAGCAGCACCGGCATGGTGCGTCGGAGCATCAACAAGTCCAATGGCAAACGGCAAGTGTGGCCGTCTCAGTCAAGTTCAGTGAAGCTAATAGTCAAGTGGTGTTTCCCCTTGAACATCAGATTTAATAACAGCTAAGGACAGGTGGACCCCGGATGAAAGATTCGGCTCAATACCCAGAGGGTTACGCTGCAAGGTTGTTCAAGCTGCACAAATCTTACATGGAAACTTGGAGTCAACTTGAGGATTTCCAGCATGATGCACCACCATCAATGGTTGTCATGATTGTCATGGTTCATAAGTTCAAATATGCAAATTTGATTGAATTTAAGGATGGCCCCAAAAGATTCTTTCTGAAGAACTACGTGCAGCACAGTTTGCAACGAATCTTGAAACGCCACTGGAAGGTTCAATGCTCAGTTTTCTGCCAATCTTAATCAACCGGAGTGCTCAGAACAGTGAGCAAAGTGTGCAAACAGTCCTCTTTGTATTGAGGTGAAGACTTCTGATGCTTGGGCACCTGCAGATTTCGACCAGGTTCAGACTTTTCTCAACCGTCGTAAGGCACAAGGCCTAATTTGACTAAAATAGTCGACCTTGTAAGCATTCTAGTTGAATGGTGGTGGCGACTGCACCGACCAAACATCGTGAAAGCAGAATTGTTGATGGTTGTACACATGGAATTCTATATTTCTATTAGAATATGTTGAAATCCGTTGTTCTTGATAACAGAACATGGCCATGAGCAAACCGTGAGCAAACCGTGAGCAACCGTGAGCACCCCCCTAAAAGACATGGATTTACTTATTCAGGACGTGGAAAAACCGTGAGCAAACCGTGAGCAAACCGTGAGCACCACAGGGACAATAATAAACACCATTGTAGGCACATTTTGTGTTGGACAGACAGGACAAAGGCATGAAATACAACAAAGAAATGAGCAAGTCACCCGAATTTACCACCATTCCCTGAAATTCAGAGAAGATGGGGGCAACTTGCGCTGGTGAAAAAAGGTATCATAGTGGCTTTTCATTGTGATTTCAGTGGAAAGTATAATTACTTGATCTAATAAACATTGCTTGATCCAGAAAATTGACAACCATGTCACATTCTCCGAGCCTCAGCCACGTTTGCATCTTCTTGTGGCTGTCTCAAATTGATCACCTGGCATTCATGGATGGAAGTACCTAGCCGACTAGCCCATTTTGGCTGTTCACAGTGGCTGTGTGCTTCTGCAATCATGGGGGAAAAAGATTCAACTGAGAAGCAGCCGCTTCCAACACCTGCTCGCACGTCCAAAGAACCGGCTTTGTCAATGTCTCAGCTCTCATTATTTGCCTCTTGCATGCTGTAAGACCATGTCACATGAAACCGACTATGGAAATCAATATGGTTATGGGCCAAACAGGACCACAATTTGGAATTCATTGTTTAATATATTTCTTGTTCAACGACTTGGATATCCAAATTTAACCCCATGCTCTTTTGTCTAAATAATGCCTTCTCGACTTTCTTCTTTTTAACATCCACCCAAGGTCTTCTACACTCGAAGCATCAGCTGTTCCCCGAACTGGAGGTCCTATGCATTTTTGGTCTGAATGTCTGGCTCCACACATGATTTGCTGTGTGCCACACATGGGCAATTTAGCAATCAAACACCGTAGAATTCTTCTAGTCTGATCATTGTTGAGAAAAGATTGAACTCAATAATACGATTCTTGTTTTTCCAGTAAAATAACTTACTTTGCTATACTACACCCAATCTGCCTGAACTGGCAGGTGAAGAAAAAGTGAAGAAACGAAAGGTCATCAAGACTATTGTCCGCAAGAAGAAGAAGATAAGTGGTGCCACTGTTGCTCCTGATGGAAACCACGAAGCCTATACTACACCAGCTGCTGACTTTGGGGATGATACTGTTCGAGAACACCCCAACGCACCAGAGGATGCCATGGATCACTATGCCCAAGCCTCTGCTGAAGCTGATGCTTCTCGCCTGTCCATGGCTGAAAAGAATGAGAAGGAAAACGTGGAGTCACTCCCAGCGACACAGGTTGATGTGGAGGAGAAACCACACGTGATCGACCTGGAACCAGAACTGGAAGATTTCATGGACCAGCACTTCGATGACCGTCAGAAATTTCCAGAAGAAGAAAGTTTCCAAGAAGGAGGTGAGACTGGAGTTGGGCCTGGGGATACTGAGGAAACGCAGCAATATGAACCAGGTGATGTTTGCAATGATGTTATAGCAGGTGAGCCAGTTACCCATGAGCCCGCTGCACCTGACGCTGAAGATCGTGTTCCTGAGGAAGACAATCAGTCCGCCTGGAAGCAAGATGATTGGTCATACTATGGGTATTGGCCTTACGATAGCTGGGGTGGATCGTGGAAGAGCTCTTGGGACTATGGATATGGCTACTATGGTTCCTGGGGCCAATGGGACAACTACCATGGAAACGAGGGAGGGAACACAGTGCGCAGGTCGAACTCTGTCGAGAGTGGGGTCAGCGGGTATTCGCAGTTGACCAGCGTCTCCGCGTTGCACATGTCATTGAACAGGCTCAACACGCCGGACCTTGAACATGTGAAGAAGAATGATGAGAAGAAGAATGATGAGAAGAAGAATGATGAGAAGAAACATGAAAAGCCTGTCAGATTGGATGATGCAACCTCACCGAGCTCGTCAGTCCCTGCCCCAGCAGCTTCTCCCAATGGAACTCCAGGTGATGAGATGAACCAGGAACACCATGATGGATCCGATGTTGGAACCGCACCCAGTTCATCGAATGGTGACACCGGTGCGCCCTCAGAAACTCCTGATGGTAATGCCGTGGAAGCAAAGAATGATGACAAGAAGGCCGCAGAGGGTGAAGGGTATGACTCGAGTGACTGACATGGACCAGCACTACTGTATAGACTAGTCTGACTTCAAATGTGAAGCAACTATCTCCTTGAATGAGTTATACACATTTTGTATGAACAAAGACATATATGATAAAACCTGATCAAGTAATTCTTTATTTTGGAACTACCCCTGAAGGTTCCCAAGCAACGAAGCGAAGAATACAAGAAAAAGCATGCACTCTACATGAAGTACCATCGCACTCTGTCCAGCCCAAGCCTCAAACGTGTACCGTCAGCTCGCCAAACACATTGAACCTTGGTTGGACAGTTGGTCAAAAACTCTTTACATGTTCACAGCCTTGAGGCCCGAAGACTCCTGAAGAGATTCAGAAGATGTGCCGTCGAGCCCACGGATGTGGCTTCGTGCAAAACCCCAAACGTAAAATTGACCTGTTGCAACAAAATGCATCATTAAGATTGTTCAACTCATCCCTTGCAATGATACGTTTAATATTCATTCCGTAGATTGTTATTACTAAAATAACAATCAGAACGATTTCAGTATAATAGTCAACGACACTTCATGTTCCAGTGCACGTTGGTCTTCATGGAGAACCTTTTGAGGTGGACAATGTTAACAGACATGGCAGTGGAAGTGTTGTGTGTATCATGAATATTTTTGAGTTTTTGTGACCCTGGCCATCTACATACTTGTAGAACCATTTCCACTGACATGTCTTCATGCCACCATGATAAAATAAAATAAAATAACACTGCTGAGTAGTCAGCGGCATATCGCATGTGACTCTTCGAATGTAAAAATAGCTTATTGCACCTACATTCCTTAAATAATATGTTAATTTCCATTGCCTTGCTCACAACACATGGCAATGGAAATTAATTACTTAGCTGCATCGTCATTCTCGGAACTTGCATCTATTTTCCTCAAATATGTTAATTTCCATTGCCTTGCTCGCAAAGCATAGCAATGGAAATTCATTACTTTGCTGCCTCATTATTCTAGGGACATGCAT